GATAATTCCAGTTCGAACTTGTCGTATGAAGCCATTAGGCAACTCCATTTGTTACATAGCCCATAGATGGCGAACTTATACCTTCAAGTTCAGCACTTAAGTTGTACCAACCACACATTGTGCAACGTTGCTGATTACTGTCAGTAAATGATAGGATCATTACCATCGCCTTTTTTCTTCATATTTTCATTGCAATTGGCATTTGAAAAGTTTAAAAGTATTGGAAATCATCAATAAGAATTCATTTGACAGCTATCTACATCACATGGTGTTAAATATGAAAATCGTAAAAAAAATTTAATAACCTAATTTGCACACAACACAAAGCAAATTTAAAGTTGAAACCATTTAGCATTTATAAATCAACATTACCAATTATAAGAGATGCAGCAATGTAATTTTCCATTCTTTCCAATATTCCCAAAAATTTGAAAATGTGGAAAAATTGAAGCGAAATATAATAAAATTACAAAAAGTGTCATAACTGCTTTGCATAAATTATTTATAACAATAAAATACAGAAGCTGAAAAGAAATGATTCAGTATAAAGGATTAAGCAGTAGTGCTATTATCATTTTATTATACATTATTATATATTCTATTATTATTGCTATACATACGTTATTATACGTAGACGTAAGTTATCAATACACGTAGTTTGCCACCCCCATCTGAATGAGAAGTTATACATGCGATTATCGAACAATATCTAACAGAATTGATCGGTTGGCCTCTGTCACACTCTCCTACAATTTTCATTCAGTAGTTTTATTTCATTCATTTCGACAGAAGACGACAGAAGATTACCTCTTTTCAAACTTTTGAGTTATGACAGGGATTTTGGGATTAGATGATAAATTTGTTAATAAACTAATATATTTAGAAAAGCATTTACTTGAAGAAATATCTCCTTTGCGCATTTGTCAAATAGCAGCGACATTATTCTTTAGAAGCAACCGTCAATAAATTTGAATGTTTTTCAGAATTGGCAACAAACTATTCTCATTAACATGCATTTCATCTATTTATTCTTCTTTGTCTTCCAATTGAGCAATATTCGAAACACAGTAAGTCCACATAAAGTTAAAAAAAAAAACAACATAACACCACAATACCATCGGCATTTAAATTTTTCACAGTGATTTTTCATTGATAATTTCATATCATTTAAGGTAGCGCAAACGGAACAAACAGAACCGTTGGATTTATCAATATCAAAAGTGAAAGAGGAAGGAAATAAATCGCAAGGCTTATCAGTAAAAAGAGTGAGTGATGAACGAATTAAACCGCGACGACTTGTTCCAATCGAAACACTGATGGAAGTAATTGAACCAGAAAAAGAAAGCACAGGAAAGAAACGGCGTTGTGATATATGTCAAAAGGAAATAACACATATGAAAAAACATGTGATGACTCATACTGGTGAAAAGCCGTATAGTTGTCCAGTATGCAAAAAGAATTTCGGTGATCTCTGTAATATGAAAAGGCATATGACGACTCATACTGGTGAAAAGCCGTACAGTTGTTCGATATGCAAAAAGAATTTCACTCGGTTTGACAGTATGAAAAAACATATGATGATTCATACTGGTGAAAAGCCGTACAGTTGTTCGATATGCAAAAAGAATTTTATTAAGTCCAGCAGTATGAAAGCACATATGGTGGTTCATACCGGTGAGAAGCCATACAGTTGTTCGATATGCAAAAAGAATTTTATTCAGTCCAGCAGTATGAAAGCACATATGGTGGTTCATACCGGTGAGAAGCCGTACAGTTGTTCGATATGCAAAAGGAATTTCACTCAGTCCAGCAGTATGAAAGCACATATGGTGGTTCATACCGGTGAGAAGCCGTACAGTTGTTCCATATGCAAAAAGAATTTCGGTGATCTCTGTAATATGAAAAGGCATAAGAAGACTCATACTTGTGAAAAGCCGTATAGTTGTCCAGTATGCAAGAGAAATTTCACTCAGTTCGGGGATATGAAAAAACATGTGATGATTCATACCGGTGAGAAGCCGTACAGTTGTTCGATATGCGGAAAAAGTTACACACAGAAATGCACCTTGCAAAGTCACATGGTAACTCATCAAATGAATAATAGACTTATCACTGTATGATAAGCAGTAAAGATTTTCAGGCTTAATGCAGATTGAAATTGCATATGAAGAATCATTTAAGCTTGAGCACTTTAAACGGAGGAAATGCACTCTGCTAATTCTTTTATTGTTGATTACTTCCTACTTTTTTCATAAATTATTGTTTGTTCTTTGATCTTATATGCATACTAGTATCACTTTCTTTTCGTTATCCCTGCAATGTATTTTTCAGCATTAACTTCAACCACTGATTTCATTTGCAAATAACCTTGCACGCTATGCACGAAGAATTTGCAAATAAATATCGCTATTGCTTAATTACTAATGAAATAAAATTGCTGATATGTATTCCTCCCTCGATTGTTGCATAAATAAAATGAAAATCAAGAGACCTACACGTGAGTGATAATCTTTGCAAACTATAAATTCCTCACTACCGTAATCCCTTAAAATACAGTATTCGACCGTAATGCGTTTTGTACTTTTATTTAATGCACTTATGAGATAAAAATTACTGTATTACATAAGTGTATTATAAAGTTAGCATAGTTATTGCACTTTTTAAATCATTTCTAATGAAGCTCTCCAAAATTAATTAATTTTATCATTTTTTATATTTATTTAATCAGAAATATTTTATGACTTGGTGTTATAGCAAACAATGCGATTAAAGAAATAATTGTTTTAATTTCTTTCTTTCCCTTTTCATTTTTAATAATTAAATAATTAAAGAAATGAAAAAAAAATTAAAATATAGCAAAAAAGAAAAACGAAATATGATGATTAATAATAGGAAATGAAATGGATCGTAGTTGTCGCGATTTATAATTTCGCGAAAACTTCTATCTAAAAACAATCCCATAATATCATAAATTATCTCTACATAAATCTAGTTTCTTAAGATTTTTCACATGTGGTTTTCATCTTAGATACGTTCAATTCTCACATATGTAAAACAATCTTACAGTATCTTAAATTATCTCTCCTTAAATTTAGTTTTTTAAGATTTATTACACATGTAATCTCACATCATAAATTCTCAATTCTCATAAGATTTCCAATTCATCACACATATGATTTTTATCTTAGACACGCCGATTACCACTCATATAAAATTCAATCTTAAAAAATTACATGAATTATTGTCTCTAAGGTCGACTACTACTCGGTTAACCAATTTCAATTCCTCCGGTCTTCTTTTATAAATTTCTTCCCTTTTTATTGTTCGGTTTTTCGGATAATAAAGGTTTATTAATCTGTATTGCAACTATTCGAGTATCAACCAGACAACCTTTCACGACAAAAATTATAAAATACCTAAAGGTCGCTGGTTCGATCCCGACTCATGGCACCAATAATTTTTGTCGTACATGTGTAATAAATCTTAAAAAACCAGACTTAAGGAGAGATAAGTTAAGATACTCTGTAAGATTGTTTTACATATGTGAGAATTGAACGTATCTAAGATGAAAATCACATGTGAAAAATCTTAAGAAACTAGATTTATGTAGAGATAATTTATGATATTATGGGATTGTTTTTAAATAGAAGTTTTCGCGAAATTATAAGTAGTATGATACTGTACTCCAGGAGATGAGATATGGGACACTGTATCATCGTTACAGTTTCCTTGTAGAGTTAGCACAGTTATTCCACTTTCGAAATCGTTTCTAATGAAGCTTCCCAAAATAAATTCATTTTATCACTTTTCATATTTGTCAAAATAGAAATATTGTATGGCTTAATGTTATTAACATATAATTAAAGGAATTAAAAAAAATTAAATATAACAAATTTGAATGAATAGATTTTCCTCTTTTTTTTTTTTGACTTATCATATTTTAAATAATTCTGTATTAAACAAAACAAGCTTTCTATTATTTTTTAAAAGACTTTTTGAATTTTAGGTTAAAAAAATTTACCCAGTACTTGTATAAAATTAGAAGATTTTACGTATGTTACGTGAACTTATGTGCATGTATTTGTATGTCAATGATGATATTCGATAGTAATGTATCATTACATCCAATATGATTCATTTGTTGTGTCAAACATTCTCTGACAGAATATTAAATAAACCTTTTATTGATTATTAACAATTACTTAAAATATGTTAAGTAAAGCAAATTGGCATAATAATCGCGTAACATAAACAAAATAAATCGTTACATGCGATTACAAACATTAACCTTTTATCATTAATGCATAGTGTACTTAATTAAACTTTCTATTATACTGTAATTTTGATATGTTTAGAACTACCAAACATTTCCTTCCAAGTGATCTTTGATAATTATCATTTTTAGATCTCTTTAAATTGCTCAATAAATATTCTTCAATTTCAATAGATTAATTAAAACCTATAAGTAGTATAAATCACAGACATAGAAACGTACATACAAGAAGATAACATCTTAATGACCTAATCGTTTAGATTCATTTTTTCCTTTTTTCTTAGAGGATAATTGTATTGATTGAATGTATTATATCTTTGAAGATTAAATTATGGTAATAATTGTAAAATAGCTATTGAATTTATCATTTCTCAAAAATATTTTGCTTGTTTTACTTATTTTCTTATTTGGATTGTGAATGAAAGTTATAAACATTTTAACCAAATTTCTGAAAGAAAATATTTTTGAACAATTAAGCTAATTACTCAAAAGTATTTCTTAAAAACTATCGATACAATAACAAATGGTAGACGGGGGAAAAAAACAAAGATATTCGCATCGATAATCTCCTGATAATTTGTTCTTTCATATATAAATAACAAACAAAATGGTAATGTCAAAGGTTAATAGAATATATGACGTTGATCTGAAGTGATTGATTTAGAGATGAATATGTTCACGTGAAATGGATCAATAAAACAATCAGTTCTATGATAAAATCGACGTTTTATACACCCTGAAATTAATTATGAATAATTCATGAGTATTTTATTTTCATTTATTTTGCAAAAAATTTGATCAAAAGAATTAATGTTTCATTTTTATTAAAATAAAAATAATACTTACAGCGCATGTTAATTCACAATGCCTTTTAGTATCAAATCGATTTTGACTACCACCACATCCTCGATAGAAGTAAAGTTTACAACGTTTATCACGATTACTGTAGAAATACTGTAAATTTGTTCGAGGAGGTGATTCATCTTCTCGACATGTTCGACCTAAAATTTATTTTCTAGTTATATATAATAAAAATTTGAATAAATATTTACTAGAAATAGAATTTAATTTATTATTGTAAAAAGGAAAAAAGTTGTTATTGATTAAAATAAATAATAATATTATAAAATAACAACCTTCACTAGGCTTTAGAAGACAAATACTTCGATCAGAAGTGCTTTTTTGAGCGTATTCCAACGATTCGAATGGATCTTTCATTTCTCCAATATCAATTTGAACCTCATTATTTTCCGCTTCAGGTGAAGCTACATTATTTATTGCATTGTAAAGTGCTATAAACGTTACTAACTTTATACAAACCAATTAGAAAATAGAAAATCTTAGCATTAATTATAATACATTTGTATATAAGATTGTAGATTTGTGTTTTGAAATAAATTATCTAAAATTAATTACATCATTAGATTATTTAATTAATTTGTGATTAATTCTTTATCTCAAGTAGTCAGCTATCTTTTTCTCAAAAAAAAAAAAAAAAAAAAAGAACCTTGTGTGCGAAATGCTTGATCATTTGATTTAAGCATCATTCGACCATAAATATCATCTTGTAATTTAGAGTCTAAAATATGCAATCTAATAATTATTAAATTGTTGAAAAAAAAAAAAAGCTCCATTTAAAAATTTGATAGAACATTGAATTGATTTCATTTATAGCATTACTTTTTAATTAACTTAACATTAGATTCACTACTTTTTTTCTTTTTGAAACATTTAATATCAATTTAAAAATGATTAATACTATTTCATTTTTTGAAAAGATATTTTGACTGTATTTTTCCATGGATAAAAGCATTTTTTAAATAAGGAAAACTAACCAGATGGAACAACATTTCCGGAAGAATCTGTTGTTTGTTCATCAGATGGAATAAGATTTTCCGAAGGTTCTATTGCATCTTCTTCTGCTCTATTCGAATCACTTATAGGTTGTACTTAAAAATAAAAAGCTTAAATGAATGCTTGAAATAGTTTAAGTCGAAATTTCAAAATGGCCATTGTTTATGACTTTTACTTTAGTCATTTTATTTTTTAATAATTTTAAATTAAATATTAATATAATGAAAAGAAAGAAAGAAAGAATCAGAACCATTCATAGTTAATTTTTTGCCACTTAAATCTAAATGTGATTGATATTGTTCACTTGGCTCAGCTGTATTTGATATTCCAGTTGCTTCTGAAATAATAATTACCTACTCATAAAAATAATTTTAATTAATTAATATATAATATATTGGCCTTAAGAATTATGAATAATTTTAGCTGTTACAATCTGCAATCTGTAGACTGCATATTTTATAAAATTTTAAACGATTGAAAATTTTTGTTATTTATCCATTCATCATTTTTACTCATTCATTAATATTATTAAAAAAAAAAGTTCTTAATTAGTATCTACTAACGTTGCTTCAATGAGACATAATCAGATGGCAATGATCCACGTGGGATTATTTCGCCTGGATTTGATGGTCGTAATCCAAAATATGGTGGTATTTTTGGTGGTGGTGGTATTTTTACTCCTACTACTCCAAGTTGACAACATAATCGTCCTGTAAGTATATTCAAAAATAAAAAAAAAAAATTAACAATATAATTGAAAATAATTTTTTAAATTCAATCAATATACCTTACTGATAGTATCGATTCGAAATGAGTATTATAGGCACATTTTTTTTTTATGAAATAAGATAGAATAAAAATGCTAACTGTTACTATAAATATGCTATGAATAATTATTGAATTATTACCATTCTTTTCTGAATCTATAGAGCAGTAATAGCCAACTGGACAGAAAGATTGTCCATCGTAGCCTAGGCCACATTTGAGTGGTTGTTGAGTAGATTCATCAAGTAATGCATCTGTACCATCCGGACAAATGTTTGTTGATGTAATTGCTAATGGTGAATTTTCTGCTAAAGATAACAAATGCTCACTTGTAATACTTTTATTAATTAAATATTTCACAATTAAAATTTTATCATAACTGTTAATTATTTGGTGAAATTTTAAAAAGAATTCATTTATATAATAAATCTTAAGATGAAATTGATAAATTTCAATATCATACCATCATTTTCTTTTTGTTTCTCATCAAATTGATAACCAACATTTTCGCTTGTTTTTACTTTTGGTTGTGCAAAACGAATATTTTCGTGATGTTTCTTTGTTACCAAAATTTTTTCCGAAACTGTAAAAAATTATTGAAAAATTTTTATAATTATAATAATACATAATTAAAATTAGCTTAATTAAACAGATAACAAAATATATATCACCATGAATAAAGAGTTTAAGCACAGAAATGATTAAAGTTAACCACAACAAAAGTGCAAAAGAAATTTAAAATTTTCAATAATCATTTAAAACATAAAAATGTGATAAATGAAATTGTTACCTGGAAGAAGTTTTTCGAGACAGCATACATTTGGTGGTCCCATACGACAATAATATCCCTTTGGACATTCAAATGATCCTGCGTCTTTACCGCATATCACAGGTGCGTTATCACCAAGTGGTGGCTCACCGTAAGGACAACTTCCTGGTGACACATCCTCATCATATGCTTTATCTAAATTTAAAACATTTCATAAAATTAAAAACAAACACACATACGCAAAAAAAGAAGGCACATCTCTCATTATCTTATCACTTATCACATTTTTGTATTTTTCTCCTACTGTAACATACGTTTAACACACGTAAAAGTTAGATTGATTAAGCTATTATTAAAGAGTTTTACTAAATTTTATATCTAATTTTTATTAAAATATTACCATATGAATATTTCATTCATTCTTTCTTCTATTCCATTTGATTAAAAAAGAAAAAATTTAGTTTATTTATTTTTGTCATATTAAACTTACCACTTTTACATTGTTGTTGACATTCTTCCTCAGTGGCAAAATTATTTTCATTACCGCCACAACCACTATAATAGAATAATCGACAGGTATTCACTCTACGATCATAAAAGAATCGAAGATGCGCTTCTGTGCATTTACCCGTATTAACATCTTGCATACAAATATTAGTTATTTGTCTAGTATCACTACTATTATTTACTGCAAATGATGCTCTGGCCAATGAATATTTCGGTACTTTGGCTGCAAATAAATTCACAAAAAAAAAAAAATTGAAATTAAAAAAAAAGATCATTATAAACTATAAAAAATTTGTAGTATTAGAGTATTTAATTAAAAAGACAAATATTTCACATTAAACTATAATGCATTTCTAATTTGGCTAAAAAAAAAAAAAGCAAAATATTCAAACTGTGTTGGAAATAAATAGTTGATTAAATGAGATATATTACTTGAAAAAAATAATAGGAAATTCTTCTTTTTTTTTTTTTGTAGTAAAGAGAAGAAATTATTATTTTTTTTTCACAAATATAATTGGCATAAAAAAATTGAATTTATGTCATATTCACGAGAAGAATTTGTTAATTTTATGAATGAAATTGAAGCAATTTAATCAAACTACATGCAATTTCTTCAAATATTTTAAGTGACAAAAATGAATTTAAATGCAGTACTGTAATAGTACTGTAAAAAACAACCGTAGTAGGTTACTGTAATTAGAATAAAAGGCTTTACTTAGTTTTAGTTTTTTCAGTTTTTCAATAAATTTAAGAAAAGAAATGCAATGATTAAATTTTGTAAAATGCATTTAGAACTAACAATCAATACGTGCAGCTACATTCATTGCTAAAGGACGACTGGAAGACATTTGCGCTTCTCGTCTCAATCGGAGCTTTCGAACAATCAATTCATTACCATTTATTGGTGTCTTTTTAACATTCTTATAACCACGCTTCACTTCTTCACCACCATAACCTATAATATTTTCAGTTAAATTTTTGGAAATTTTGGATTATAATTAATCAAATTTAAAAGATTTTCAACAAATATTGTCATAAAAATCAAAAAAAAAAAAAATTCAACAAAAATCTTTTATATGGATATAACAATTTTTAAAAAATAAAATAAAAAGAAAAAAAAAAGAAGTTAAGTAGACAATTAATTGTAGTTAAATTGCCAGCACATTAATTTTTACCTGGTCAAAAAATAAAAAAATTTTTTGTTTAATTAAAATTAAAACCTCCAAATACATGTTCATCGTATGGATCTTCAGCATTTGGACAACAAAAGAAATCAACACCATTGAAATAGCAGAGTGAATTGCCAGCACATTGATTTCTACCAGGTAAACACATCATTGGCCTACCATCTGCATGTTGTATTGGCTTATGGCCATTAGGACAACTAGGCGTATGGCTTATATCATCAAAAATATTTGGCAAATCAACAATTGCATCATTATTTTTGTTTACAATTGTTGCACCAAATGTTTTTGCATTATTAATTTCTTTTCCTAAAAAAAAAATAAAAATAAAAATAAAAATAAAAACATAGAAAATAAATTAATTTTTTTAATATAAAAAAAATTTTTATTAAAAATTAAAAAATTAAATATAGAATAAGATTAATATGCTATAAGAATATTTCACTGAAAATTGAAAAGATTTGTTGAAATAGTTTGAAGAAAAATGAAATTAGAAGAAAGGGTAATTTACCTGAAATTTGTTTACTATTCTGATCATTAAATGATGATAACAATTGTTGTTTAGATGATTCTCGTGCATTTATTGTCTCACTTGCTGATCTATCCAAATTCTGAGGAATTAGTTCTGCAGGTGTTATTGTTTGTGTTAATAATTGCTTTGAATTGATCGGTTGAATTTTTTCAACATTAATCGAATTTTTATCTGATACTATGCTGAAATAACTTCAAAATAACCTAAAAATAACTTTAGTGAATAAAGTAATTAATTAATGAAAAAAGTACATTAAAAAGATATGAAATACCTTGAACGATGACGTTCATTTGTATTCTGAGTAATGTCCTGGACATGATGTTGACCTTCTGACATTTTATCTGTTTCGGTAATCGATAATGCTTGTTGCTGCTGTTGCTGCTCATTTTCCGGATCCTGTGATGCGGCAAAACCTCGCTGATGAACATCTACGGAAGTGGATTTCAAAGAATGCGCAATTTGTTTAGCGGTTGTGTCCATCTCAGGAACTTTATCATCCAATGCTAAAAACAAAAGCAAAGGAAAAGAATTGTTTCAAATACTTGCTTACTTATTCAGATATTACAAAAAATTTTATAAAAAATAGAAAAAATGATGAAATATTATTTTTTGGAAATTTAAACAAAATTTTAATAACAATTTTAATTTGTTAGTCAATTAATAATAATATTAATTTGTTAGTTAATTAATACAATTTAGCATTAAAGAAATATTATTTTGAGAAGCAAATGCACGCAATATTTCTATTCTTTAAAATATCACAAATCATGCAAAGGTTAATTAAAATCTAAAAATACTTCTTCATTAATTTAATAGTTTATACTGACGTATGCAAAAAGTTTGACATTCGCCAAGTGTTTCAAACTGATTTGAATTGCCACCTTGACCTTTGTATACCATTTGTTCACATCGTAAATTACGTACGTTAAAGTACCACTTAACATTATACCCATTACTATAACCCTCATCTTTTTTATAGGTACATCGTTCCGGTAATTGTGATTTAATCGAATTATCTATAAAGTAATACTTTCTTTTTTTTTTCTTGTATAATTTGATATTTCTATTTAAATAATTTAAAAAACAGAAACTAAAAGAGAGAGAAAGAACTGTGACTTAATCGAATTATCTATAAAGTAATACTTTCTTTTTCTCTTGTATAAATTGATATTTTCATTTGCATAATTTTTAAAGGAACTAAAAGAGAGAGAGAGAGAGAGAAAAATGATGATAGATGAATAGCTTTTTTTTATTATATAATTTAAAAATTTTTTTAAATTGAAATTATAAATTAAAACCACTAACCATGTGAGCATTTTGCTTCACAAGTATGTCTATCAGGAAAATTATTATTATTACCACCGCATGAACTATAAGAGAATTGTTCACATTTTGCAGTTTGTGAATTATGAAACCACCGAAGTACATAATCATGGCAAGGACCTGCATCTGGCGGTAGTAAGCATATTTCATCATTTTCAAGTTGCAATGAGGTGACAGCATGCACTACTGCATGCGGTGTTGTCACCTGCATTACTTGTGAATCAGTAGTGATATTTTGTTGATTTAAAATTTCCGATTCCATTATCACTTCTTCTTCATGTGCATCATTCATTGTAGTCTGATCTTTTAGTATCTCATTAATTTCACCTGTAAATTGAATCACAGTCTTTTGTTATAGTTCATTTTCTTGTTTTTTCTTTTAAAAAAATTTTACCATATCTCTTCTTATATTCAATTCAGTTTGATAAATGGTCAAAAGATGAACCTTGTTTGATTGTTGTCCGGTAAGGAATACTTTTGACCATGAATTGTGCATCATGTGCAACCGTAAATTGCTCGCCTGTTATGTCATTATGATTTTCCGGAAGTGATTGTTGTGATTGTTTGTGCTTTAATGAGTGCAATTTATAATCATCTACAGTGTTTACACTATGCTTTTGATTTAATAGTGCATTAGATTGAGAATTTGAATTAATTTCTCCATTAGATGCAATCATTTCTTCTGATAATTCCTGAATTGCTGATACAAACGGATGTATGGTGGTGTTTCCTGAATTTATATTACTATCACTTCTTGATGATGATGATAATGATGGTGATAATGATGATGGTGATAAATTCATTGTTCCAATTTTCCCTTCACTTCTTTCCTTTTTCATTTCTTTTGTTTCATTGAAAGGAAAGTTTAATTGTTCGATCATTGTACTGATACCATTATTTTCAATCCGATTATGCGATATTATTGTATGAGATGGATTTTGAAAATTGGTAGCATTCATAAAAATCGATGAATCAACATTGAAATAATGATCTTCTTCAGATTCCTTCTCCAATTCTTTTATTGGCTTCTTTGCTTGTTGTTCAACATTGCTAGCTGTAGTATCGAATATATTTGGTGATAATTTTTGAGTAGAAATTGATAATAGAGATGAATTATTTGCTTGCATTGATAATTTTCTCAACGGATTCATTATGGTTGTTCTCACAGGAAAGTTATTATTACTATTATCATTATTATTAATACTATTATTAATATTACTATTGCTATTATTAATATTACTATTGCTATTATTATTATTATTATTGCTAATAGTTGTGCTAAATGTTGCTACACCTGAAGTATTAAATGAGCCAAATGATAGCTTCTTTTCGGATAATTCTTCTTGTTGTTCCGATAGAACCTGCGAATTAATAATTGATTGTAAGCTCTCATAAAGCCATGATTTATCAGATGGAATAGGTTGACTAAGAAATTGTGGTTGTGATGAAGTGGATGACTCAAATGATCCATCTACTCTATTGCTAGCAATTGTTGTTGATTCTGAAATTATCATTTGAGAAGGATTTGGGTTTGATTTTGTTATCATATCAGAAAAAGTTGACGTTTCATTGATAAATGCCGGAATGGTGGTAATAAGGGACGAACGAATGGAATGATTATTGTTGGTTGCTGCTGAAGAATTTAAGGTAGCAAATGATAAAGGAATATTCTCCATTACAGGTGTATTAGATGATATAGTGGTGATAGGAATAATAGTTGTTAAAGAATCATGAATGAGTGATGTCGAATCAATTTTATCAATGATTTTATAATCATTCGAATCCATATCCAATTCCTCATCTGATTGCTCTTGAGTAATACTAATAGCATTATCATTAATGCTCTTTGTAATAGTATCAATATTATTTGGTGTTACTGATAATATCATTTCATTATCAGCATTTGATGCAATCAATTTCTGATCCTTATACTCAGGTGTATTAGTGTGCATTGAAATAGAAGATTCATGCGAGAATTCTTCACTACTTGATGATATCATTTGTTCAGTAATTGCATGCTTGCGATGTGTACCTCGTGCTCGTGCACCTGAAAATGATAATGTGCTTTGTGCATGCATTGATAGTGCTTGTGATAAGGGATACTTACCTAGTCATGCAATATTGCCATTATAAAAGTAACTAGCCATTATAAAAGTAACTATTTCTTGATCAGTAATATCGCTTTCATTTTTGTTGTTTTTTTTTTTAACAAAACTGTTTAAAATATTAACTTTGAGATTTGATAAATTCAAAAGATAAACTTTATCAAAATATCCTTACTGCTTTAAAGCATCCATCTATCTTGCTGATAATATAAAGCATGCGCTAGTAATTAGCTTAGTAAAGGTTCGCTTAAAATTTTTCAGTGAGAAAAAACAAATTTGAGTAAAAAGTTTTTTGTTTTCTTTTCAAGTCATTCATCTCTTCCACTTTTTTTTTAAAAAAAGAAAAAGACAAATGCTTACAACTAAATAAAGTTTATTTTTGATTTTTAACAATATTTTGTTAATTAAATCTGATAAATTTTTGGATTTAAATTTTTTTGTCAAATAAAAGTTGAGAATAATTATCAAAATTGATCAATTAGTTAATATGCTTACCATTAAAACTTTTATTCTTATCTGATATACTAGTATGAAATTTTTGTTGAATTTTGCTAAGATCAGTTTTAGTATCAGAAAGAATTGGCGATGATGATTGTGATGATAATGAAGTTGGTGATAATAATGTTGAGGGTAATGCAATTGATGATGGTGGTGATGGTGATGATGATGATGGTGATAACGATGATGATAATGGTGATAATGGTGATATTGGTGATGACGAGAAGGATGTTTCTAGTACAGAACCTTGGTTAATAATACGTACATGGTGTCTTAGTACTGAGTCGCGATTAAGTTTCGCTGATCCTTTATTTAAAGCGATCGAAATCTTATTATCATTTACTTTTTGAGCTACAGACTGAGTGTTAGCATCACCAACGATAGAATCATTAGTGATCGTATCAGTAAATTGTTTGCTTTTCATCCAATGATCATTCACATTGTTCAATGGCATATGAATTTCGTTCTTAGCTTCAAATTTTGGCGAAATGAAATTCGATGATCTAATCACTTCGTCCAAGATCAATCTTCCATCATTTCGATCAGTAGAAATTCTGTAATCATCATTTACTGACCTATTGAATGCGCCATTATTAATCAGTGATTCATTAGTTGCAATATTTTGCTTCCGTTTTTCAAATTTATTTTCATGATCAATCATCACCGTTTGATCTATTTGCATTCCAGACATTTCCGCTTGCGGCAAATTTATTAATTGCTCATCGCTTGATAGTTTCGAATTTTGTGTTGTAGCAAAATCTGTAAGCATTTGCTTAGCAAGATGTCTGTCGAATAGATCTGATTTTAATGAAGTGATATCTTCTACCATCTCATGTTGAGACATTTGCGCATTATGTTTTTGCTGCTCTGATAATTCATTCTGAATTTGTGAAATATCGATTCCCTGAACTGTCATAACCTGTGATTGCTTCTGTTGATGAGCTAAATCATCGTTATTCCAATCAAATGAGTTCATCATCGATGACGAACTATCTTTAGGGGTACTAATCTCTGATCTTAATGCATTGATCGTTTGTGTAGAATTATTTTGAGTATTACTAATGACTGCCTTCCAGTTATTATCAATTCGTTTGTCATTTATGCCATACTGTTTTGTAACTTTCATCGGTATTAGTTTGTCATCATCAGGAATGATAGATTTTTCCGGAATATTACTATTTGTTACCGAACTATCTATCTTATGTCCTGAAGAAATAGACAAAGGCTGTTGTTGTTGTTTTTGTTGTTGATATTGTTGATGTTGTTGTTGTTGTTGATGTCTTCTTATAGAACTTTTTGCAAGATTTTCAATTGCTGTCATCCTATTCAATGCATTATTTGCCAATTTATCATCCAATTTCACTTTGATATGCTTTCCATCTTCCAAATTAGATTTAGATAAATTTTGCTGAGAATTATTAGTGATAAATGATGGTGTAACATTTGAGGATGATTGTTGTAAAATATTTTGTTGTTTATTATCAACAATATCATCATGCTCATTTAATATTTTTGTTGATTGCGACCCGGTGAGAGTGTTAAATTGTGAGGTATGTGTGACACTTTCATAAGCTGCTATTCTTCTACGACCTGTGCGTCCATCTAAACAGATGCTTTGGCTTATTTCAAATTTTTTTTTTTTTTTTTTTGCTTTCCGTCAATGATAACTTAATTTTAAAATAGAATTAAATTCATTTTAACTCATTAGGAAAACAAAAAATGAATGTAATATAAAGTAATTTCAATGATAAATTATATAATTTAGTTTAGTGTATTAAGTGGAAGTGATGAATAACATTAAATTAGACTAATTTGAAATGATATATTTTTAGTGATAAAACGAGCCTTTTTCTTTCTTTAATTTATCAAATTTATCTCTTTTCATGCTTCTTTCTAAAATGCTTCTTTGTGCGCAAAATAATTTAAAAAAAAAAAAAAATGAAAAATGAATGTAATATAAAGTTATTTCAATGTGCAATTGAGTGCATTTAAAATAATTTAGTAAAAAAAAAAAAAGTGAAAAAAGTAAAAAATTGCCATGCATTATTGAAAATTTTTGTTATAAATATATTAAAAGAAAGACTTACTGAAAAATCGAGCGCAATGTATCTCACATTCATGTTTTGAGAAGAAATGATTACGATTACCAGCACAACCACCATATTGAAATGATTGACATAAACTAGTATTAATATTGAAAAACCAACGTTCGATAAAATTTTTACATGGTCCAGCATCCTAATAAAATATCTCATATAAAAATATAAAATTATCATTATTTTAAATAATCGAAGTTTGTTCAATATTTTATCATTTTTGTTTATTATATCATTATTAAATAAACTTTTAACAAAAGTTCAAAAAAAAAAAGATAATTTTAACATTTATAAGTTTAAAATTTTAAAAAACAAGATTTAAAAAAAAATTTAAAATTTTTTAAAAAAAATCAATTTTTAATTACAATAACATACCATAGGTTGTGAGCATTTTTCACCTAATTCGGTTACCGAATTTGTTTGTGAAGTTCTTCCGGAATGTGACATAGATCCATGTTTCTTTTCCACCTTATTTTCTAAAGTTTATCATTAAATAAATTTTTGTTTAAAAAATTTCAATTAATTATTTCAAAAAAAAATTCAATTATTTTTAATCTTTTAGTGCTTAATGCATCATTTGTTAATATTTGATAAAATTAAATGAAAAAAAAAAAAAAAAAAAAAAAAAAAAAGCTATCAATAAATATAAATAGAATTACCAATAAATTGTTCAGCTTCAAGTGATTTCGATTCATCTGATGATTTATCAGATATCAAAGTGGAAGTGATCACAGATGGTTCAATTGGTTCATTATCAATTTCAGAATGCGCAATTGGACATTTGCACTCATGACAGCCTTGACGATTTGTGAATAAAATACATGGCTCAACGCATAATGATGCATCTATTGTGGGACATTTCACTAATTCATCTGATCCTATAATTATTGATGACATAATTAAATATTAATTAAATAGCGAATAATTAAGTGTGACAAATATATTTTCCTATCATTGTCACATGAGAAAATGCAAAAATAATCTAACCTTGAACACATTTTGTTTTGCATTCAAGCATTGATCCAAAATTATTACCATTACCGCCACAACCACCGTATGTAAATGGTCGACATTCATTAGCTACCAGATCATATGCAAATCGCGGGAAAACACCAGAACATTCACCTACTTCAATTGGATGCTTGCATACATCAGTTGACAGTGTTGGTTCTAAAAATAATCATTAAAAAGATTGATCTGATCTGATCTAATCAGATCAAAATGACATCTGTCATGTGACAACATAAAGCATTTACAGACAATTTTTTGTTGTGTTTGAATAAACTATTGTGATAAATAGAATTAAGCTTTCTTAGCTTGATACTGAAATATTTTAAAATGTTACTTATTACATCTCCTACTATCATTATTTTTTTCTCTCTCTTTTTTTGTTACCAAAAATAAAGTTAAAAAATTTTGTAGAACAAACTTTGTACGATACATCTGTTGCGACATTCTAATGAACTTCCAAAGTTGTTGCCATTACCGCCACAGCCAGTATATGTAAATGGTCGACAATCATTAATTGTCGAATCAAAAGCAAATCTCTGGAAGATACCGGTACAATCACCTGGATGAATGCTGTGCTCACAGATATTATCCAGTTTTGGTGTTGGTTGTGCTAGAAATTATAAGGAAAATGTAAGTAATGATAGAATTAGAATTATCATGTATAAATATTTGGATAAAAAAAAGAATCAAACAAACAAACACACAAACAAATAAACAAACAAAAAAATAAACAAACAAGCAAAAATTACGAGGTTGATGACATGCAGCAAAGCAATCTTCTCGGCTACGATAATTATTGCCATTTCCACCACAACCAGAATAAGTAAATACTTGACAGGTGCTTTTTTCAAAATCCCAATACCATCGAATGAATTGTCCAGTGCATGTACCTCGATCAAATTTTTGAAAGCATCGATCATTGCTATCTTTAAATAAATAATTGCAATATTTTTTATCTTCAATGTAATCTAAAGTAGAATTTCTTTTTTAAAAAGAAGCTATTTCTGAAATTAATGATTTTGATAAATTTAATTTAAAAATAAAAAAATAGCAACTTACTTGCAGTTGGTTGTGCAGTTGTTGATAAAATTGATTGTGAGGTTGTGGTAATTATGATTGTACTGGGAGATAAAGCAATTGAAGAAGCTAATGCTGTTGACATGAATGTATCTGATAAGCTTTCTACTGTTGTCTTTGTTGTTGATGTGATTATTTTCATCTCTTCGTCACTATAAAACAATAATAATAATATTCTTTTAACGCTAGAATAGAAAAAGGATAAGAAAGTGAAGTAAACCTATTAGACAAATCCTAGAATAGAATAGAAAGAGGATGAGAAAGTATATCTAATAGACAAGTACTAGAATAAGAAAATCAAAAAGAATAAATTTCATAAAGTATATTACCTTACAAAATAGAATAGGATGGAAAAGAAAAAGCATAAGAAAGTAAAATAAACCTGTTAGATAAACCCTAGAATGGAATAAAAAAATAACTTCTATAAAGTATATTACCTTGTAAATACTAGAATAGAATAGAAAGAGAAAAGAGAGATAAGAAAGTAAAGTAAAGTAAAGTAAAGTAAACCTTTGAGATAATTGTTGATCAGTAGTGATTGCAACTGATTCACTTGCCAATTTTTGTTCATTTCTATTTGATGTAGTAAACTTTTCTGATTTATCAATTGTTGCAATTGTATTCTTAGTTTTGACAGTTGTAAAATCAGTGATTTTATCAGTATGATTACTATCCAATGATAATTTTGCTCCTTTTTGTTTAATTTTCTTTTCAATATTTTGATCAATTTTTTGCAATTGATGTGATTTACTTTGATTAATGCTACTTTTTGCAGATAAATTTTTATTTATCATTGATCCATCATGAAATATTGTTGTTGACGATGTGATTTCTAAATTAGCTTCATTATTATTATCAGTAGTGGTAGTAGTAGTAGTATCAGCAGTATTATCATTATTGATATTTTTGATATCATTTGAAATATTTGTGCTAGCTGCTGAATCATCATCATCATCATCATTATCATCATTATCATTACTGATCAATTCTACTAATTCTTTCTCTTCACCAGTTTTTTTAATATTTTTTATTCCAAATTCTTTGTTAAGCTTTCGCATTTGTGGTCCAGATGTTATTAGCTGAGGTGCTGATACAATTGATGTTGCAGTAATTTTTACACCACCTAAAAATGTTTTTATCAATTTATTATACTAATAAAATATTATTTGCTTTCATTGTTTCTTTTTTTTTTTTCTTTAATTTAATAAAAAATATAGCAAATAATCATTTTAAAAAAGAATGATAAAATGTTGTAATGATAATGATAATGATAAGATATTAAAATTAAGTTGGAAATAATAAAAAAGAATGATAAAGATGTTGTGATGATAATAATAACAATAATATTTTAAATTAAATTAAAAAGAAATAAACAAAACAAACGTTGTCGACAAATACGTTCACATTCTTCCACACGTTCAAAATTATTTGCATTGCCTTCACAACCACCAAAAAAGAAATATTTACATTCGCCGAGACGATTGTTGTAATAAAATCGAAGCTCATACTGATCACAAGGGCCACGTTCCTTTGGAAGTTGACAAATATTAGTTGTAGCACCTAAAATATATTCACTAGAATTAAATAAAATAAATAAAATAAAAATAGAAATAATAAAATTAAAAAATAAGAATAAAAAAAAATAAAATCTAGAATAATTTGAATATTTCTAAATGACAATATAATGAATAATTATTATTTAATATTTCAATAAAATACCATAAACATTTCTAAAAATTTCTAACAAAAAAAAAAAATAATACATAACTTTAGATATAAATACGATATTTTTATTCTTAAAAAAAAAATTGGGAAAAAAAAGTTGAGTAATTAATAGAAATTAATATTTTTATCTATTCTCTTGCACATTAATACTATAATTTGAATAATATTTTATTTAATACTATAGTATAAGTAGTAATTTACTAATTTTAATATTCAAAGCATAAATAATAATTTAATATTTAAAATTTACAATTTTAGGTTTTTTTTTTTTTTTTTTTGAATTTTTTATTTTGATATGAAAGCTTACTGCTAGATGCATTAATTGGACAACAGACTGATCCAAGTTGTGCTACCGAACATAAATAACCATTCGGACAGGTACTCTCGGTACAGTTCACCAACTGATCATTTTCATTTCGTAATGGTTGCAAGCCACCTTTACATTTTGGCTCATTGCTTGTTGATTTGCATTGTTTTTCGCATGCTTCTTTGGTTGGATAATTGTTACCGTTACCACCGCAACCTAATTAATTAATTAATACTTTAATAAATAATATATTGCATAATTTCGTTTAAATTTCTTTTAAAAAATTCAATTATACCTTATATCTAATTCCATTTTATAATTATTTTTTAATTTAGGATTAAGATAAATTATATTCCATTTTATAGCTATTTTTTATATTTAAGATGAAAAATTAACTTATTCATTCCATTTTATAGTTATTTTTTAATTTAGAATAAAAATTAACTCTATTCCGTTTTATAATTGTTTTTTAACTTAGGATTAAGATAAATTGTCAGTGTTAAGGAAATATTTGAAAATAATCCATTTTATGAAAGGATTAATAATTTGAATTTGTTAAATTAGCATTCAAATAATTAATGCTAATCTAAATCTAATGTTTACAGTTTGAAAATGAATAAAAAAAGAAAACAAAATGTAAGTAAATGTACCGGAATATTCAAATTTAATGCATTGTCGTTCTCGAGTATCATAATACCATCTTTTAATTGCTGTATTACATGGCCCAGAATCCATTGGTGATAAACATTCATAGATTAATGACTTTTGCGCTTTTATTATTCCTACAAACTATTGCATATTTAAATTTTAGTTTTAATCAATGTAATAAAATTTTTGTTCACAAAATTTTGATTAATTATCTAAAAAAAAAAAGAAAAGAAAATTCAATTATTTTTAATCTTTTAATGCATAATGAATCATTTGTTTATTATTTGATAAAATTAAATGAATTAAATAAGTAATAAAAGTGAAAAATGATAGTTAGACGAAGAAATTGTAAAATTAAAAATGAATTATTTGCCGGAACAAAAAAGAAAAAAGACAAACGTTTACAGTCCGGTTTTTTGGTACCATTAGAATCTGAATTTGGTATTTTAACACCATTATGATCCACACAAAAACAATTTTCACGTTGAGTTTCGCATTGCAATGGCCGAAAAGTACCATCAGTGGCGCAAATTGGAATGAAATCACTTTTGATAAGACCTGATTCACTTGCTTGTCTACGTTTTTCGCATTCTTCAAATGTAATTTTAATTATTTAAATTTCAATTGAAAACAAAATTTTTTCATTTCAATTTAATAGGCATTTATAAATAAGCTTTTTAATATATTACTTAATACTAGGATCAAATTACTATTATTATTACTTAATTTTATTATTATTTTATTACTTACTACTAGGATTAGTAATGTTATATTACTTATTGCAAGCATTAATTTTATGATAATACTATAATTTATTACTTAATTTTATGATTATTTTCATACTTATTACTAGGATAATATTAAGTAATATTATATTACTTATTACAAGGAATAATTTTTTTTATGTTACGTATTACTAGGATTTAATTATTACTATTTAATTTTATTATTACTACTTAATTTACTTAATTACTAGTTAATTTTATATTATAATTAATTATTACTATTTAATTCATTTTATTACTTGTTACTAGGATTAGTAATACTACATTACTTATAACAAGGATTAATTCAACATTAAATTTAACATACCAGTAAGTAACTTGTGAGATGTACTTTTTTGAGCAATAAATGCAGCTCGTTGTGATGATATTGTTGCAGTATTATTATTATTATTATTATTATTATTGTTATCAATTATTGGAAATGATGATGATGTAGTACTGATCTGCACATTGATACCATTATCGTTATCATTATCATTATCCTTATCATTATCAGTAATTTCACTACTTATTAATGAATTTGCTGATTTTTCTATTTCATGATCATTTTGAATTGTTGTACTTTGATCATTAGTAGGCCATTTATTTAGACAAGCTTTTTCACATTCTTCTTTATATCTATACAATACTGGTTCATTTTCATCATTTGCACAGTGACCTGAAATTGAAGAAAAAAAAAATTTTTTTTTACTAAAATAAAAATTAAAAAAAAAGACAATAATAATAATTTTTGATCTTTTCAACAATTCAAAGCATAATTTTAAAACACTTTTTTACAATCCTTTTTGTTGCAAAAAATTAAAAATATGAATTTACTTCATTTTAATTTTTTAACCAAAAATTCAATCTTATTTATAAATTATTCGATTATAAAAAGCTAAGAATTGCTTAATTAACTTTATAATTTTCATTAGACGAAAAAAAGCCAAGTGCTAATTATTTAACTCTACAATTTCATTAGGTGCTAAACAGCCAATTACCATTTATTTAACTCGATAATTTTGTTAGATGGTAAAGAGCCAAGTACCATTTATTTAACTCTATAATTTTGTTTGATGATAAAGAGCCAAGTACCATTTATTTAACTCTATAATTTTGTTAGATGATAAAGAGCCAAGTACCATTTATTTAACTCTATAATTTTGTTAGATGATAAAGAGCCAAGTACCATTTATTTAACTCTATAATTTTGTTAGATGATAAAGAGCCAAGTGCTATTTATTTAACTTTATAATTTCTACTTACAGTATTAAAAGTAATACTTACCGAAAGGATAGGAGATACATTCGTTATCCCTCATATAGTAACGTAACACAAACTGCGAACGTGCTGGGCCTTTTCCATCTGCTGCAGGACATCGACCTCGAAAAGGCTGTCGTTTGCATAGATTTACATCATCTAAATTAATTACTTATTAATTTAAATATCTAAATTAATTACTAAATTAATTACCTATCAGTTATTAATAAATATTTGTCTTTAAGTAATAATTATTCAATGATAATAAAGTAATGATTGATTACATCTACATAATTTTATCAAATAATATAGTAAAACATCATTTTGATATATATTTTTTCAGATCAATAACCAAAATTTTCTAACATATTAAATTAATAATCAAAATGATTAATTCTATCAAATGAATTTTTTTTTTTAGCTTCAAATTTTTTCTTTATTATTATTAATTAACCTAATGCTAAATCAATTTTATTACTTTACTTTTCAATTTTTTTTTACTAAAATAATCAAAATTCTTATTTTGTCAGTTATATATATATATGCATGTAAAAGCTAAAATCGATTCGATTGTTTTTGTTTTCAAAATTGTTAGATTTATTAATTAAAATTTAAATTAAATTAATTAAATCTTACTTGTTTTAATAGCCACAGTAATGTTAGTACAATAGAAGATGACAAGTACCACTTGGGCTAACAAAGCCTTCATATGCTCGATTTACAAATTTCTAAAATGTTTATAATAAAAAAAAATTCTATCAAATTCATAATTATTTAAAAAACGTAAATTTAAATTTTTAAAGTTTTAGCACCTTAAGTCAATTTTGCATATTAATCAAAATCGATTAGTATTTACAACTTTTTTTTTTCAGTTTTAACTATTAATGATTAGAAATGATAACTGATAACGATTTGTATTAAAGATTGAAACTGCTAATGAAAATAATATTAGCAAAAATTATTATTAAATAGAAGCATAAATTTTTATATCTTAGAATATTCCATCATTTATCATATCATATAGATAAATAAATTTTACAACAATATGAAATTTCCATTTTACCGGATATATAATCCGGTAAAACAGTAACAATGAAAAGAAAATACGTTTCTATTCGGAAATTATTATTGGAATTTTTTTTTTTTTTATAATATTACTATTTCTCTTTTAATTTTTAAATATTTTATTTTCAATTTATCTCACACTGCTATCTACCATCAATGAAAGAAAACAAATATTTTTTAAATTTAGTATGTTTATGTGTGTGTGTGTGTGTATGTGTGTATGTGTATGTGTGTGCGTGTGTGTATGTGTATGTGTGTGTCATCCATATAATGTCATCAAATAGGTCACTAATAGGTGTCTAAGTGAATTCCTTAGCAAAAAAAAAAAAAAAAAAGAAAATTATATAATTTTAAAATTTTATAACAATTTGACAAAACTGTTTAATTTGAATGAAAAACAAAATTAACACAAAAATTTTTACAAATGAAAAAATTATAATTTTATATCAAAAAAAAATGATTATAAATATATAGTGATAATGACAATATATTAAAAATAAAAATGAAAATATTGCATTGATTTGAATAAATTATTTAAAATGAATAAATTATCACTTTTTGATAATAAAAGATTAAAATTAGAGATTGATCATTTCAGAAAATGTCTAAAATTATGAAAAACAATGAGAGAGTAATTAATTATAAATGCAATAATTAAATTTATAAAGTTAATATAACATTTAAGGTGAAAAATATTTTATGATTTTAAATTTTGATTTTAATTTCTGATTTTAATATTTAATCAAAATGCATCTGTGCAACGCATTTTTATTTTAAAGTTTTGAAAGTAATTTGTCAATTAATGAAATGAAAAAGATAAAACAACTAAAATAACTTTTCTTCTTTTTTTTTTTTAAAAAAAAAAAGCAAAGAATTAATAGTAATTCAGAAGTTAGAGAATTATTTAAATATTTTGATTTATTACTAAGTGAAATAAAAAAGCTTTGCAATAAATTATCAAAATTTATTGGAAATTATAAAAAATCATAAATTGTGTTACTTAGCTAAAAAACAAAGTAAAATAAAGACATTGAAATTTAATGAAATTTAAAAAAAAAAAAACATAACAATTTTAAAATTTAAATTAACATAAAAGAAAAAATCAAACAAATAATATATTATTATAAATAATTCTTTCTACTCAATTATAAAGTTAAGCTTGTAACTCTTCAATCTTACAGATTTATGGTTTTTAAAAATATTTGAAATTATTATTTTTGAAAAATTATTTAAATAAAAAAATTTGAAATTATCATTTCATATATTTATTGGAAGATAACAGTGTTACTTGCAATTTGCAAAATGAAATGAAATATTTTAAACTACAATTCACAAATTAATCCAATGATATTTGATTAATTCCAAATATATTTGAATAATTAAAATACAAACGATAATAATAGATTTGCATTAAATTAAGCCAATGATAAATCTCTTAGAAATTGAATGAAACAATTAAATTTAAAAATAATTAAATGTTATTAATAGAAGGAATGAATTTAATTGCAAAATATCTTATCACAAATAACGGAAGAAACTAGTTTAATGCAAAAAATTTGAAATAAAATTTGTCCGACAGATAAGCAAAATTAAAATTTAATATTAGAATAAAATTTTTACTCCGTCTTCTCTGCTTATTTCAGTCTTTTCCTCATATTAAATTCCACTTAAAATTTAAGGGAACATTTCTTATATGTCATTTTGTGAATTACACGATGAAATTAGGGCGTTCTAATCAACAAAATGGTTAACAAATTTAATTATAAACCGATTGTAATGATCCATTCCTAATTAGAATTGATGAATCATTGATGATATAAAGTAAATTTCAAAATGATAAAACCTAAGTGTTGCGGAAGGGGTCACTGACGAGAGGGGGTGTTGATGGCCATCTAAGGGACGGAATCTGTGTTACGGCATACGTAACTGTGACCCTGACCTACTATCACTAATCATTTCAGCAATTTGACAAATAATCACGTAGAAGGAATCTAATCAGATAAAGGGAGTATCGAGAGAGGGGGAGAGAGAGAGAAAGAGAAAGAAAGGAAAAACATCACTGATAAATTGTTTACCTTAATTTAAATATTTACTCCATCAATATTTATTGAATAATCACTTTTATCATTGAAAAAAAAAACGTTTAAAGTAGACATTTACACGTCTTTATAATTTTATTAGAGAATATTTAAAGAATTATTAATTTAAAGTTCAACGATACATATGCTTAATCGACATCATCGATAGATCATAAAAAGAAAAAAACGTTTAAGGTAAACGTTTACACGTCTTTATAATTTAAATATTAATTTAAAATTCATTGCTAAATAGTCGTTGTATTTTTATTAGAGAATAATCAAAGGATTCGTAATTTAGAGCTTATCGATAATATATGATTAAATGTTCATCAACAGATCATAAAAAATATTTTTAAATTTATTTATGTAAATGAAACATAAAACGATGCAACCTTCTTGGCTACGAATATTTTGTAAGTGTTCAGGAAAATATTTCGATTTAAACTGAAAAAAAGTTCAAATAGTAATTGAATTTAATATGAATTTAATATAGTAATTGAATTTAATAAGAAAAAAAAAAGCAAACAAACGAGAAGTATGAATGAAGAAAGAATGCTTAATAAAAAGAAAAGAAAATGATTTGTTGAAGCGATAATAACTTTTAAAATGTTTTAATAAAATTTAATAAATTTGTTGACCTAATTGTTTGTGTATATTTCACACCATTAACGGATTTTAACCAATTTTCATTTATAAATTAATAAAAATTGTTCCAGTTTAGACTAAAGTATGAAATTATACATATTTATTAGTTGCATTTAAAATTCAGGAAAAGAAAGAGTAGGAATTGCTAATTAGATGTAAGATATAATAATTGAATCAATTCAACAATAATATAAAATGCTTGAAATACAAATTCTTTATTTAAATATTTTAATTCATAAAATGTTTTAAAAGAAATAGCATTACAAAATAATTTCCTAGTGAAATTGAAGAAAAGAAAAATGATCGGAAAGAGCTAATTTAATTGTTTTAATAATTGAAAAAAATTTTTTTTGCAAATGAAAAAGTATGGAAAAATTGAGTGAAAAAATAATTGCTAATTAAATATGAAATTTAAAAATATAAAACATTTATTGAATTAGCTAAGAATAAAATAATAGCGATAAAAATCAAACAATTGTAAATTTTCAAAACTTCATTCTGAATAAATCACTGCTATTATTATTATTTACTATTATTATTGCCACTATTATTATTATTACTATTATTGTTATTATCATTATTATTAGAATCAGTATTATTACTACTTTTGTTGTTATTATCAGCACTGTTACTGCACTGCTATTATTATTGTCGTTATCATCATTAATTATTATTATTATTATTATATGGTTATTACATTTTTGTCATATAATATTATTATTGTTACTATCATTATTAACTATTATTACAGTTATTACTACGTTATTGTCATACAATATTATTACTGTTATTATAATTCTATTATTATCTTATATTATTATTATTAATTGCTCGAGTAAATGATATATAGAAGGACAAAAATTTATGAAAACCTCAAATAGTTATATTCAATTTATCTTTTAGCTTTTTCAATGGCATATAAAAGTAATAGCGCAATTGTCGCATACTACTACTGCTCCTATTCATGTGCATTTTTCTTCCAAATTCCATAATTTTCTTTCTTCTTTCTTTTTTTTTTCTTCCTCTTCGTTTCAATTCATTTACTATTTGCATATTTGCGCTATTCGATTATTTACTGATGCATATATTATATATTTATAAATATATAATTATATGTCACCGTATTTTATTTATTATATTTTATGTTATTTTATTCATAAAATGTTATTGTTAAATTTTATCTTATCAAATATATTTAAGTTCAAATTTAGGTCATTGGTTAGTAATAGCATTAATGAATGTCATATTATTATTATTATTATTATTATTATTATTATTATTATCATACACAAATATTTTAGTGAAAATGATCAGAATGAATGAAGTAACAGTTTGCGCCAGCATTCACACCTTCATTTCTTATCGTTCTCAAGTCAATAACCCTCTGTCATCTCCGTTCTTCATTTACCATTTCATCCTAATTTCATTCATTTATTCATTCCTTCCTTCTTTCTATTATTAAATTCGTACCTATATTGACACTTCTTTGCAACTACCAAAATAAAAATTAACAAAAACATTTGCATTCATATAAAAATACCTTTTGAAATTAAAAAAAAAAAGTACAATTAAATATAAATATTTAATCAATTTTGACATTTGAAATTAGAAAAAAACAAGCAAAGAGATCAATGATATAAATCATGATTGTAATCAGTTTAAATGATTAAAAAATTTTAAACATTTAAAATGTTCCAAATTTTTTGATTCCCAATTATTTTACGAATTTCAAAGACTTCTTATTTTTTTTTTTTTTTTTTTAATATAAATACCATTTTAAATATAAAAAACTACCATTTTGTTTTTAGATATAAATATAAAAATATAAACTACCATTTTGTTTTAATTACAATATTAGCTAAAATTAATTTATCCCCTTTATTTAATTCAATAAATGAAATTTAATGAAAATAATTTATAAATTTTCGCATTAGCACATTTCAAAAAAATTTTTTTTTTTGCTTACTAAGATGATATTTTCTGGTATTTATTTGATAAAATTAAAAATTTTGAGTGATATATTGCGATATATATTGTCATCTGTCACATAACAATGAAACGATGAACTAAAAATTTTGTTAATGTTTATTATCACTTTACTATCACTTATAAAATTTGCTATTTAAATATTTAAATTTGAAATTATTGAATAAATTTATAAATTGATTGACTTATTCGATGGATTTATTTATGAAATAATTTTGAGCGATTTGATGTTTTCTATTAGATGAATGCATTCTGTCACCTAATTTTATTTTTATTACTTCGAGAAAAAAAAAAAAAGAAATTCCCAGATTTCTTATAAAAAATTGAATTAATTCATATATATTAGAAAAATTATTAATTAATTGATGACACTAAATGAATGAGAAAAAGAATTTCTAAAGAAACGATCAAACATGAAAAAAAAATTTTATTTCTTTTTTTTGAAATATAATGAAATTAAATCAAGCAAAAAGGAACAAAGATCTCAGAGTTCATTTTTTTTTTCTACTTTGAATAAGTAAAAATTCTAATTTCAAGAATTGATCTGATATTTTAATTTAAATATGCAATCATTGAAATCATTTAATTTCTTCTAAAAGTTTTATTATCACTTATAAAATTAAAATAAATAATTTTACTATCTTAAATTACATTACAAAAAGGTCAAAAAAATTTCTAAAAAGATTTAAAATTTCACACGATTTTACAATTTTTTTTTTTGAAAATTTTACAGATTGAGAAAAAAAGAAATGAAAAAATGAAAAATTCAATAAATTACATATTTTATCATAAATTTGAAATTAGTGAAAGTAAATTTTGTTAAAAGATTGATAAAAATAACAAACGGTTATCAGTGATGATACATTTAAATAAATGTGACATTTAAAATGTCGTTGAAGAAATGAGAAAGAAAAGAAATAAGATTCGGTGATTAGGTAGGTGAAAAGTGGGCAAATAGGACAAGGTTTAGGTGGAAAGAATTAAATTTTATAAAAGAGAGAGAGAGAGAGAGAGAGGGAGAGAGAAAGGAAGAAAAAGAGAGAGAGAAAAAATGGATGAATGGAATAAAAAAAAAAAAAAAAAGAATGGTAAGGATAAAAAAAAAAAAAGTATGCTGATAATTAGGTCAGTAAAGATTTAAAAAGGGAAGAAAGCCTACCCACCCAATTTCATCCTCTTTTCTTTACCAGTAATTGAAATTATCGCAAGAAATTACAGATTTGTAAATGGTATGAATAAAAGATTGAAATGATATCTTAAATTGAATTTAAACAGATTAATTTCAAACATTTCAATGATTAATTTTTGAAGTATGACAAAAAAAATTTTTTTTGATAATGCTAAATTGAAGTTGAAAAAAGCAACAGTTAAATAAATTTCAATTTAATATAAATAACAATTTGTTATAATATATATAATTAAATATTATGAAAAAAAAAAATTTTTTTTTAAAAAAGAATCATTAACATCTAATGCTAAATTGTTAAATATAATAAATGCTAAATTAAAATTAGAAAAGTGACAGTTAAATAAATTAAAAATTACTGAAAATGATAAATTATATTAATATATATTTGAATAATTATCATTTTTATTCTTTTCAGTTATAGCTAATTAAAAAGAAAAATAAATTAAAGAATTGACCAGTATTTAACATAATGATAATTCATTCATACATTCATTCATTGACGTTATATCGTATCAGTGATAATGATAACAAACATTGTTTATACATCAAATAATCAAAAAGTGAGTTATTAAATTAACTAATTATCATTTATTAATTAAATAATTAAATGAATATCGTTTGCATTCTTATATTATTAGAAATTTACATTCTGACTTGAATTTTTCACCCTTTTTTTATTAATTGATTGAATTTAAGCTTTTTTTTAGAAAAATTTAAATCAATTATAATTTTTATTTTAACTTCACTCCTTTTTTTCTTTTTATAACTCTTGTTTTATCTTCCCTTTCTTGAATTAGAGCATTTTTTTAGGAAAAATTAAATTCAATTCTAATTTTTGCTTTAGCTTTTAACTTCTCTCTCTCTCTCTCTCTTCCCCTCTCTCTCCCTCTCTCATTCTTCCTTTGTTATGCAAATTTTTACTCATTTTGTTGTCATTTTATTATCGAAATATGAAAAGAAAAGTAATTGTGACAATTAAATAGTATGAAGAATGCGTCATACGGTGGTTTTATTATTTTTTCTGCAATTATTGCTATGCATGCAGTTGCATTTATGTCAAACAGTGCGAAGTACTGCACCGCAAATTATCGATCATTTCCCTGCAAGAGATTAGCATTATTTGTTTATTAAATTTATAATTATTAGCTAGTAATAGCTAATTAGGTTAATTTTAATCATATGTTGACTAAATTTATATTACTAATTAGCTAATTAGGTAAATAGTTCCAATTTAACAATTTGTGACATACATTTAATCATATGTTAATTAAATTTATAATACCATTTGGTTAATTAGGTAAATAATTCAAATTTTTCAACTCACAACATACATTTAATCATAAAAAATAAAATTGCAAACAAACAAACAAACAAATTGTTTACTTTACTTTTTTCAAAATGCATAAATGATAAATTCATCTATGTGTTAAATGTATGAAATAAAATTTAAAATTTTAGGATCATTTGCGATGCCAGATTGTTGTGAAGCACCATGGAGTTTTGATTCAGATACTGGACAATGTATTTTGAATATGGTATATTTGTAATTTATTTTTTTTTTAATTTAAATTAGATAAGAATTAGAATCAATAATTGTTTTACATTTATTATTTTAAATGATAAAATTAATTAATTAATTAAGTTGGTTGAAATTGATTAATTAAAGATGGCACAAGGTGTAAGAAATCAAGATATGCCATTATTATGTACAGCACTTGGTTTTGAACTTGATGGACACAAATGTATCAGATATGTTCGATTATGTATGTTAATTTATTACTAATTAATTTAATTATTATTATATAATTTTTGTTTAATTAATTAAAATAATTTTTGTAAATAATAGTGAAATTTCAAATTAGACGAGTAGCCTTATCAGCTAATTAAAAATTATTTGATAAATAATTTTCAGCATACAAATATGAGACACCGATTGATAAAGAAATGAATTCAATAACAATGGAATGAATTCAATGCATTTATTTTCAACTCAATTTGTCAACTCAATTCTTATCATAAATTTTTTAATTTAATTTAGCTGAATTGATAAGCATTTATAATTAATTGTTCATTGATATGGTTGCTTGATTAAATTCATTTTATAATGAATAAACTCATTTATCGTCAATAAACTTTTAAATCTTTAATTGAATTTATAAAATTAAATTATTGTAAAACTTAAATAATTAAATTAATGATAATCTCATTTACATTAAAATAATTAAACTAATGATTGATCTTTCTGCTAATTACTGGATTTTTCTTAGATCATTGTATCAATCAATGCTTAATCAATATTATTTTATTATATTTAATATTATTTATATTATTTAATTAATTTTAAAAATAGTATATTATTTTTTTTAAAAAAAAGAAGAAAAAGAAAAATTCACTTATTTGTATTAATGAATTTAAAATTTTTTTTTTTTTTGCTTTATAACTTGAAAATATTTTTTTGAAATTTGCAAAAATATATTCGCAAAATATTTCAAACATTTTTTTCTTTTCTAATAATTATTTAAAAATATCTTTTCTGAAATGCTTAATACTAAAAAAAAAAAAGGAAATTAATTTAGTTCAAATCCGAACTGTGTACGGAACTTTTGTTATTTTCTCGAAATTTTACGCAGTTAATAAACTTAATACTTACCTAATAAGCATTTTGTTAAATGATTAATAACTTAGTGGCCGAATTTATATTATTAAAATTTCGATTTTTAATCTAAATTTATACCACTAAAAAGTTCAGTTATAGTTTTTATTTTAATTAGCAAAACTAATTAATTAATTACTACAAAAGTCATTGACATTATCATAACAGCTAATAGTAGAGTTAAATTAATGCTATTAAAATACAATATAGGAAATATTAAATTTACCTATGAAATTTGTTGATCATTTAGTGATAACGACAATAGTGATTAGTTGATAAGATAAATTGTGAATTTGAATAAACTTCTTGCAATACTGCGTTACTTATCATTGATCAAAACAGTAATTACTTATGTACTGTATTATATTTATAACGATTTGCATAAAAATAAAAACTTAAAAAAAAATATATAAAAATCTGATTATAAGCATTTGAAAATCTATCATTTCAATTTTCAATTTTTATTTTTCATTTACAATCAGTGCGTTTATTTTCCAATTCACATAGGTCAATATGAATTGAAATGATTTATACTTAATTTAAGTTGATCAAATAGAATCAAATTAGTGCTAATTAAATTTAAATTAACCCATCCAATTCTGCTTGCAATTTCTTCATTTCATGGCAATAATTGAACTGATAAGAGTTTATATGTATTATTAGTGATATCGCTATGATAACTATGTATAGACTTGTTAGCAAAATTATGGATGAATTGAAAATAATAATTAACTTCATTTCAATTTTAATGATTATCATGCTTATTTAATATATTATTATTAATTACTGATATTACATTTTAATATATTACTATTAATCACTGATATTTTTTTCTTAATTATACTTATTTAATAACATACTTATTGATAATATAATACTATTAATCACTTATATTCTATTTTATGCATTGCTATTAATCATTGATATTTTTTCTTATACTTATTTAACTTATTACTATTAATCAAACTATTAATTTTTTTATTATTATTAGTTTTTATTATTGATATTACTTTTAATTTTTTAATATTAAAATTCAATTATATTAGTATTACTATTAAATTATTATTAATATTACTATCAATTTTTTTCCTATTTTAATATATTACTATTAAGCGCTGATATTTTATCCTTAATTAATTCATAGATAAACATAGTTGTTTTGTTTAATTTTTAATCGTTGTTTAATTATTATTTTGTATTAAAACGATATTTTCCTATACGGACACTACCTTTTGTCACGGGCGTGTAAAGCTTTACGTACCCGTGATGAAACTGCTGAGAGAACGTGTTGTAAATATATTTGCCCACAGGTAGCATAGACTTATTAGATTAAGGGCAACACATTCTAAAAAAGGATCAAAAACAGGTGAAACTTGTTAGCTTTGCAAATTTCAAACAAAGCTATGATCTGAGGATTTTATTGGCAAATTAACTTTGGGTGTAAATAATTGGGGACAGTTCCGCACATACTGCGACAGATCATAGATCATAGCTAAAAAAGCCTTTGAGCGGATCCTAAAGATCTACCTGCTTTCATGAAGTCATTTAGCGACAGGTAAGTGAGTGACAAATTTGCAAGTGAACGGTAGTGCACTTATAAGGTATGCTGAAGACGATTTACAGTTTCAATTGCTTAAGAGTGAATCCGGAATTGACAAAGTTAGCAGTCATATCCGGTCAGAATTCTGAATTAACTAACCTTACCAAAGGATAGCACTATTTATTCAATGTGGAGTGAGCCTAGAAAGTTCAAAAGTTCATTTTTTGTTTAAATCAAAAATTTATCGAAATGCTCTCCGGTTGGCTAATCATAAATGAATGAATAGCTTTAATTGTAATTAAACAAAAAAAAAAAGAACCAAACAAAAGTGCAACAAAAATTTAAATTAATTTTTTTTTTTGCATGTTCAAATATCCGAATTATATTTGGCATTACGGATAGTGGACATTCCGGTTATATCGTTTTGCTCTAATTATTCATGAACGATTGTCACCATTCAACACTGACATTACTATTCCTAATAATAAAACATGTAAAAAAGAAAAGTCACAACGAAAATGAGGTCAACTGTACATTCTTTTAATCAGATAAATCAGATGATCAAATATTTTTCCAATCAGGAATTTGCATCATTTAACGATCAAAAATTTAACCGCCAATAAATTTTTGTCAACTTGCTAATAGATGATTTCGATTGGATTATTTTGATATGTTTTCCGCTGTAATTCTTTTTCAACAAATACTTCAAATTGATCTTGAAAAAAAAAAAGGGAAAACAAATTCTGCAGTAATCATCATCCGGAAAACCGGAAAATTCATAATCCTTAATGACTTCAATAACAGTAAACAAAATAAGAAAGAATTTTGAAGCCTGGGATGGAGTACTAGGCTATAGGCTGGCTACAGTCACAAAGGTTATTTCAATTTTAGAATGATCTGAGCTTATCATCGATTTAAATCTTAGCGCCTGATCGATCACAAAAGGCGCAATTTATGATATTTGTCATACCTGAGTGATGCTCTTGGTGCAAAAAGAGGTAACAATCCAGGGAAGAGACTCAAAATTTAAAAACTTTGAAGTTAAAGACAATTTCTAGGCTAATTTTCAAATTATTTCATAAATTCCTCCCTCGCACGAAACAGAAAAATTCAGCAGTCTTTCGCAAATTTTTGGAATTTAAAATAATTCAAATGAACTGTTATCGAAGAAGTGAATTTTCTTATCAAACACACCTTGCTAAATCTTATTTGTTTTGCAAGAACACGTACGTAAAATTTGTGACACGTGAAGAAAGATAACGTATTTCGGTCTACCAATGTGACATTGTGACCTTCTGTGATATCTGCTTGCAATAGCACTTGTTTACCTTATTTTACCCTTACGCTGATCTCTCCAATTATTAAATATTAAATTTGGATTAATTTATGATGCAAAGTTATAAATGAATTATTAAGATAATATTATTTAACTTAAATGAATAATAATTCAATATTTTTGTGCTATTAATATATATAAGGAAATTTTTAATTTTTAAGAAATATAAGCTAAAAATAGAAATCTTTTTTGAAAATAAAAAAAAAATAAAGAAATGAAAATAGAAATTTTATTCAAATCTTTCCATTTTTTATTTTTTTGTATTTGTTAAGAAAGCAAATAATAGAAGAGAAAGTATTAATTTTTCATATATTTCTTAGACATATGTATGGTAGTAGTAAAACAAATGAAACCCATTAAAAAATACAATAAAATTTGAAAAAAATATAAAACAAAAATTATTTTTAAAGAAATTTTTTCTTTCATTTTATCTTTTCAAAATTTTCACATTATTATAGATTCAAACTGCTTTACACCTATTGTAAACTTTTTTTTTTTTAGTAAATAAGGATTAAAATTTAGATTTTTTTCAATAAATAAACATCAAAATTGTAATACTAAAATAAATGAATAAATTTTAATATACGATAAATTTAGAGGATAATTATATATGAATTGAAAAAATTTTATTGCTAATATCCTCCAGGATGCATATCACTTTGGCGCCTATAGTCACCATTGGCGTAAATTGTTCCATCCTCATCAACAACAATTCCTTGAGCTATACCTTCAAAACCAGTGGTTTTATTGAATTTTTGTCCAAAAATTTGCGTCAAATCATCCATCAATTCCTTAAATAATTTAATAAATGTTATTAATAAAAATGATTGATTAATTAAATAATTAATTAACCTGTAAATATCATTATTTATAAAATGATAGCAAACCTTAGGTACAGTTTGTTCAAATTGAGTAATATCTGGCGTAAATTGATTGTGTAATGTTGGCGCATCAATTGCTTCTTTTATTGTTTCATTGAAAAATAATACTCGAATAATAGGTTTAGCTAAAGCAGAAATTATTTTTGAACCACCAGATGCACCAGCTACCATTACAATCTAAAATTATTACAAGCATTTTAATTCAACAAATTAATTTATAGCATTTAAATTTTTAAATTAATGATGAAAAAAAAAAAAAGATGAGAAAATGCTAACTTTTCCAGTTTTAGTATTATAAACAATCATTGGACTCATACTACTCATTGGTTTCTTGCCCGGTTCAATAAAATTACTTTCCGATGGTGCAAATCCGAAACCATTAGCCATTCCTCAAAAAAAAAAAAAATTATTATAATTTTTTTTTAACTTTTCAAATTGTTAGCTTGAAATAAGCATACACCGATAATTAATTAGATATGATATTTTTTTGAGTTCAGTTGAAATTATTTTTGCTTACAATTTTACATAAATAATTTTTAATTAAACTATTAGTTTAGATTAAGCTAGTTGACTTTAATGATTAGTGGTACATTTTAAAAAGTATTATCAAATGTAATAATTAACGATTGAATGAATATTTATTGTTGTTTCATTCTGTTTAAAATTTACAATTATAATTTCTAGTATAAGTGTAAGTATATAACTTTAACTTTAAGTATATAACTTTAGTACAGAAATATTCAGTATAAGTTGTTAACTCATACAATAAGTGAAAAAAAAATGAAATTATTTATTACCTGGCGTAGAAAAATCATCCATTTCATCATTAAAAACAACACCCAAATCAACAGATTGCACTACTGCGCCAAACCTATAATAACTCTTACTTCTACCTTAGCAACAATTTATGAAAAAAACAAAAAACAAAATTTAATAATTATTTTGAAATAATAAATTAAGCAATGTAAACATTTGTATAATTGATAATTAAATTTAAAATATTATTTGAAAGATAATATTATTTACCATCGATTAACAGTACTTGTACTTGATACACCATTACCCATAGAATCTAATACCGAAACATGTGATGTACCATGATCATTTAGCTAAAATTTTTATTTATTTAAAATTTACTTTTTTTTTTTTTTAATATTAAAAAGAAAATATCGAAAAAAAAATAGTAATAATAAAGTTATCAGTATAACTACAGTGATAATATTAGCTAAAAAATGACTTATTAATTACAATTATGTAAATTTCAAGATCAGTTCAATAACATTTACTATCAGGAAAGAAATGATTTTAAATGAATATTTAAGATCAAAATTAGTACTGATAAGATTAAAATGACAATTTTACGATATCAGAATAAGCTCAAATTTTTGTTTTCACATTTTATGACCCTAATTAACCTAATTAATTCATTTCCTACCTGTTTCTGAAGCTCACCATAGTATTCTGTTGGTTGTGTTTTATTGCGCATTCTCGAGAATATCCAATCTGTGTATGCTTTTGTTGTCATATTCTTTGCAAGCTCTTTAGCTTCTTCCACAAAAGCTTCATCACCTAATAAAAAATGAATAACAAACTAAAAATAAAAACAAAAAAAAAAAAGAAAAAAAAATGAAGAATTTAGAATTACAGGAATTAAACGTTTCTTACACTGGTCATTTGGTCACTTTTTCACATTTCCATCCGTTCCAGAACGATAAAAATTTACGAAATGAATATTTTATACAGTAATACAATTTGATAAATATGTTAAATAATAAATGAAATTTTCTAAAAAATACTCATCAAAATTATATTAAGCTAATTAACTCACCCATAAGTGTTCGTTGCGCATATGCAAATTTTTGCGCCTCCAAAAGTCGATGATAAAAGAGTGGATCACGTTTTAATACCTCTTTGCTTGTTTTAGGTCCATAAAAGCCTAAAAAAAAAAATTTAACAATTGGTCAAAACTTAAAATAGCAATTTTTCATTTAACCGGAACCGGAAATTATCATTGAATTAGTAGCATAAATAAAAATTTCCCTAAATTCTTGACAAATAAACAATAATTTAAGAAAAAAAAAAGAACTGACGAGCCATAAGTGATATGATTAGCTGAGTAACAGCAAATGAGGAAGGTGGTGGTGGACCACACATTGCTAGATCACCTGAGAAGTGATCATTGATCAATGGTTCCTCATGTACTGTTGGCTTAAATTGCGCGAAATCATCCAGCGTAATAATTCCACCTAAATTAGTCTTGAAATTTTGTTAATAATTTGAAATGATAATAATAATATAAAATGTATTTCAATACTGAATGCTAATTAGTTTATCTCAAAAATGTTTTCAATCAAAATAGAATAATAAATAATAATTAATATAATCATAATAACAAAATAAAAAAATAAAGTTTAATTTAATTAAATTTTATATAAATAAAAAAAGAACTAAAATAAAGTTCAATTTAATTAAATAATGTTAAAAATTTATTTTCATATTATTTTTATTGATATATCATTTTGTACTTATTTCTTCCTTATTTTTTTTTTAGTTGAACTTATTTTAATAAACAATTTTATAAAATGAAAAAAAAATTTTTTTTTTAACAAACTAACCATTATTTTCAATTTCTTTGACCAATGCTTTAGCTATATCACCACGATAGAAAAGTTCCACTGGATCAGAACTAAGTGCAAGCTTTTCTAATGTATTACCTAATTCAGGTCGTTTGATAATATCACCAGCAACAAATACTTTATCAGTAGCATTATTAATCCAACTTCTATAATTAAATTGAGTGGGAAAAAGAAAGAAATTTTATGATATACCATTTTCATAACTTTTAATTTTATCATTTAAATGATATATCATTTTGATAATTTTTAATTCTATTATTTAATTTTATTATTCAAATCATACATCATTTTGTTACTTTTTATTTTTATCATTAAACAATATATCATTCTGTTAATTTTCAATTTTATCATTCAAATGATATATCGCCCTGATAATTTTTAATTTTATCATTTAAACGATATATCACTTTGATAAATTTCAATTTTTTCATTCAAATGATATATTATTTCGATAATTTTCAATTTTATCATTTAAATGATTTATAAAATTAACTCACTTCATAGAAGGTAATGTCCTAAAATGTTTCTCTTTAACACCAAGGACATATCCAAGATACTTTGACACAGGTACCCCATACCGACATAAATCAATGGATGGTTTTATCAGATCGTACCATGATATCTTACCACTACCAAAGCGTTTAAATGCAAGCCAATAACCAGCAATTTCACCTGGTGTTGCTATAGCACGAAAACCTTCAAATTAATCATTTAAAATGATATCAGAAATTAAAATCACTTAAATGACCTAATATTTGTTTTTCAATAAAAAAAAACAATGTTAAAATTTTTTTTTCCAGCAATTTCACCTGGTGTTAAAAACCTTCAAATTAATCATTTAAAATGATATCAGAAATCTAATATATACTTTTCAAAATTTTAAAAATTTTTACCATATTTAGAACCAAATTCATCATTAATAAACATATCTCGAGAAGCATTCTTAGGTGCTGTTTCTCTAGCATCAATAACAGTACATTTTGCTTCACTTCTAAAACAAAAAAAGAAAAAATTGATTGTTCATTTCTTTTTTTGCATTTTAATTTCATTTTTTAACTATAAATAATTAAAAAGATTTTTATGATAAATAATTTTTAGATTTTTACTAATTAAAAATTATTTTGAAAGCATAAATTTTTAAACTATTCAGAAATAGCTTGTTCAATATTGCTAAGCTAATTCAATATTAATCAAAAAATATCTCATTAAATTGTTTTTTTTTTTTTAAATTTTTTTTTTTTTTTAAAATGATACTTTGAATTTATACCTATTATATAAAGTCATAATAAAACCACCACCAATTCCACTACTTTGAGGATTAGTAATACCAAGGCAAAACATTGAAGCAATCGATGCATCAATTGCATTACCACCTCTGATCAAAATATTTCTGCAACAAATATAATAAATATATTTTCTAAAAGTTTCAAAATTATTGAAAAAAAGTTAAAAAAAGATTTTTTTTTCAATGAATTTTTAAATTTTTAAAATTTACCGTTAGTATTTAATTAAAACATAATTTAACAAAATTAAAATTTTTTTCTTAATTTAATTTGCAAGAACTCAATTTATTAAAAAATTGTAACGGTTTTCCATAATGATTCATATTTAAATTTGAAATTGAGATTAATTTCAAACTCAAATTTATTTTGATTTATAGTTTTTTATAACATTCAATTTTTGTTTGTTTTTGTTTTATAGCTATTGTTTGATTATTAATGAAATTAAAAAATTTTTTTTTCTGAAAAATTTCGCATTACATTAATTATAATATAATAATTAAATGTAATTAATTAATTAGTTAATTAATTACCTGCCAATTTCACTGCATAAACCATGATCACAGGTAACTGCTGCATTTATATACTTTCCCAAATAACTATCAGAAGGTGGTGGCCATAAATATTCCTTATGTAATTGCCCTTCATCCTAAAATCATTATTGCTTTATTAAGAATTAAAAATAAATAAAATTATGCAGCAATAATAAATAAAATTATCAATTTAAATTATCTTTGAAAATTATTAAAGTGAATACTATTTAATAAAAGAAATTAAAATTAAATACTTACCATTTTTTGAAAGGCATGAATTAATTCAGTGAGAAAATTCACTATAATAAATAACCTAAGTAACATTATCATAACAATTATGCAATATCTGCAAAAGAAATTACAAATATTTAAAAAATATTTTTTAAAATACTATTTCAAATTAGCGATTAATTAATAATAAATACATTGAAATTGCTTTTACAGACTAAATTTTTTTTTTTTTTTTTTGAAAATAAATTATAACTTTTAGAAATATCTTATATTAAAGATATTTTGCGATTTTTTAAATTATTATTATTATTTCATATTAAAATAGCAAATGAACTAGTGAATATGATGAACTACAAAAAGGAAATGTTGTTTTGGTGACAAATTTCAACTAAAATTTTGAAATGTTAGAAAAAATTCATTGATGATGCAACTAAAACGATAACAAAGAAATGTTGTGCTCAGACATTGATTGTTACGCTGACATTTAACAATTTTTTCAAATTGTTCAATTGAAACTATTTGAAAAAGGAACAAAAACTGAAGAAGTGCATGCATGCTGCATGCTGCACATGTGTTTATAGATGGCAATAAATAAACATATATGCATGTGCATGCAAGCATGCAAGTATGCAAGCGATCATTCTCTTGCAAACATAATCATTGATGAACAAATACACTGCAAAAATGATTGTTTAATGATCTATGAGATATTAATAAACAATGATTAGTAATAATTATAAATAGTAATAATAATAATAATAATAACAATAATAATAATATTAATGATAATAATAATAACGATATTGATAATAATAATAATAAAAATAATAGTAATGATAATAATAATGACAATAACAATTATGATAATTATAATGATAATAATAACAAGAACAATATTAATAATGATAATAATAATAATAATGACAATAATAACAAAAATAACAATAATAGCAATAATAATAACAATTGCATATGAATTTGAAAAGTGATGACAAGAAAAATAAAACGAAGTTTAGTTTAATAAAAGGCAATGGTAATTAATCTATTATTAGAAAGTTTCATATAAAATTAATTTAACAATAATTTACTGATATGAATTTAATCAGATCAGTTATAATATCTATTTCTACTGATCTATCTATCCATGTTTGCATTTATCATTGTGATAACCTTAAAATCATGTGATTTTTACGGAAATTTTTTGTTTAGTTTGTTGTTAGATAGATATTATCATTCGAATGTTGTTGATTTGTTAGGAAAATTGCATTTAGTTTACTGATGAAAAGATAAAATTATTTGTAATCATTTTATGATCGCTCTCCTTTTAATACCTTTTTGGAAAAATTTCTTTAATTCTATTTCTATTTTATCAATAGTAGTAGTAATGAGAGAGAAATAAAATTTTCTTTTTATCATAATCAAATAGTTTAACTTAATAAGTAAATTATATTTTATTATTTTAATGAATTATTTGAACTAAAAATAAAATGAACAAATCATCTAACATTGATTAAAAAGAAAAAGAAACAAAGAGAAGTATTAAAAGATATTATTTAAGAAGGAATGATTGCAAATTTGATGGACATTGATCTCGAAAATTTTACATAAAATCGAGAATTTACTGCAATATGCTCGAGAATTAGTGCAGGAAATTAATAATAGAAAAATGATTCATAGCTAAATTTTAAAGTTTTTATTAAGAAATATTGCTGAATTTCAAAGCTTTCTTTTAGTTTCGACAAGATCAGAAATCATAGCTAATGGTATGAATGAGTAATTAAATTGAACATTTAACAGTGAAAAATATTGAGGAGAGGAAGACTGGAAATGAGAAATGACAAATAACATACGACAAAATGTTGAGTTGACATTAACAGAATTAGTGAATGTTAAAAATAATAAACTAATTGAAACTGACATAATAAGCGAATATTTGACTAAAAAATTCAAATAAATTTGATCATAATTTTGTCAACACGCTGAGATAATAATATTCACAAAAACAAGTAATGACAACGGATATATTTGACATTTAAAATAAGATAAATGTTAAATAATTAAATGAGAGAAAAGAAAGGGAATAGAAGAGAAAGAGAGAGAGAGAGAGAGAGAAACATATGAAGAAACCAGTTTAATAGAGAGACAAATCGACTTATAATGATCTTTTAAAAATTTCTTCTAAAATTGATAATTTTATTGAGAAAGAAAATATGCAACTATATTATGTTGCAGATTGCGCATTATATTACATTTGCGCAGTGATTAATCATCAATTGATAGTTATTAATTAATAATTAATTTAATTTCTCATTAATTAATTTCACAATAAAATTATCAAATTTTTGATTAAGAAATTAATCAATTTTAAGTGCATTAATTATGGATGAAAAAAAAATTGAAATTTGTATTTTTTATCATTGCCATATAAAGTTCATATAAAACTATTAATTGTAAAGTAGAGCAGAATCATTCGAGATCATTCGAGATGAATGACCCATTTGTTGGAATGATTTTCAGTTAATTTTTATTAAGCAAAAATAAACTAATTTATCCATCATTTAAGACTTAAATTTCTTATTTTAATTATTTTAAAATTTAATAATTAATATAAACATTAGCATTATAATTTTATTATAAATTACAATTACTATTAAGTAATTTCTCACCAAAAGTATTCCTAAAGTATTAAATGAAAGTTTTACTTTATTTTCACTGTTAGTATTAACAAAAGAATAATAAAGGATGTGATAATAATTCAATGATCATAATTCATCGTTATCATTTCTATTCGTTCTAGTTTATTTCAACTGTTACTGTATTAACAAAGAAATAATGATAAGGACGATTGTGATAATAATCAAACGATCTTATCAATCTTTATCATTTCTATGACTTCTAATTTCTTTCAATAATATCCGATTAGTGATAAAATTTTTGTTCAAAATTGTTGTTTATTATTACAATTAATGTTTGATTATTTCAAAGCACACAAAAAAAGAGAGAAATCACATTCCTTTTTTTTTTTTGGATAATATATTTTTCGATAACTAAATATTTTCATTTTTTTTTTTTATTTTTTGTAAAACTAGATTTTATGATAGTACGTAGATATTGAAGAATATACTTTTATTTCAATATCTAAAATTTTTTCTCCATAAATTTACATTTCTCAATTTAGAATCTTTCTGAAATAAATTAACACTAAGAGGTAAAATTTTGCAAAATTAAAAAAAAATAAAAAAAGCAGAGAAGGCTCGTAAATCATTTTCAAAAAAAAAAAAATGAAGTGATGAAAATTGAATAATTGAAATACATATACAAACATTTGAAGCTTTTATTTTACTATCTAAGAAACAGAAAAAAAAAAAAGAGAAAACGACCGGATTTCAATTGTTTGCACAGTACAAAAGTATCATTTGAACAGAAAAAAAAAACCATTAAATTAAATATTTACAAAATGGAAATTTCATTTCATTTAAAAAAAAAAAAATTCTACAAACTAAAATGATTGTTGTTTTCAAATATTTCTAGCAGTAAACAAATAATGATAGTATGTAAATAGTCCGTCAATATCAATGTTAGAATTTGTTAGTGTTATGATTGACATTATGAACTGAGGAGTCATTGAACTGGTCTTCATTGCATTCATTAATCAGTGAGAATATTTTCAATCAACATTTCAAATAGAACAAAATTACAAAGTTATATAATTGTGTAATACGAAAAAAAAAATAGAATTGAAATTAATTAAAAAGCACACAATTTTATTTTATTTTATTGATTAAATAAATTATTCCATTAAGACAAATTTGATCATTTATATTTGGTTATTTTAGTTTAAATTTTGATCCTTAATTTGTAAAAAAGAAAATGAATTCAATATAATTTTAATCAGTGATATGAAAATAATGGCCAAAGCCCATCAATGTAAACTATCGAATGGTTAATACATTTGATCCACTTGATAATTAAGACATGTCCATTTTGTCTTATCATCATTTTCTGATGATATCACCATTTCCTGAGACAATTCAAGTTACGAACTCCGTGAAACGTGAAAACAGTGTTACATTGACGGAATGCTTGTCAAAGTTTAGCATAAGTGAAATATCCGATACAACCATCGGGCAAACACAATGGCTAATATCTCAAGGGACAATGTCTTTGTACAATGACTCCGTCAAATTGATCATCGCGTCAGTGACCTAACGATACCGATGACAACTTTGTAAACCTGAAGTTAAGAAACAATTAGCGAGAAGCGTATCACTGTGCAACAATGATACTTTGTTGTGTTACTTGTTTTGATCGGAATGAAATTTGTTCGTCCTCGCGCAAATTTCAGAAAGAATTGAATTTAAATGCATTCTTTCAAACAATAATAAAGAATTTTCTTCGCACATTCACTGTCAATTTTGTGTATTTTTTAAATCATATTTAATAAACAAGTTTACAAATAGCATAGATTTATACTTGTAATTATCAATTTTAATTCATATAACTGAGATTTGTTCAATTGCAATTGAAATATTTCACTGCCACACATTATTTCTCGCATATCATCTCAATTCATAATTGTTTATCTCAAAAATATATTTTATATTCGAAATTAACATAAAAATAAGGGCATAAAGAGTTTATCGAATGAAAATTTACAATTGATATAACCATGGCAACGTGAATGCCATAATTTCTCATTGTTAAATGTATAAGTAAGTGTTAGAGTAAGTTATAGCAATTTGTGAAAACTATAGAAGAAGATAGTAGGATAAATTGTGAGAAGAATTTATAAATATTATAAATTTTATTTTAGATATTCTTCCTACTTGGTATCATTTATGCTCGATATTTGGTCATTAGCACGACAGCAATATTTAGAAGAATGTGAAAAACGAACCGTTCGACAACAAGATGCCATCAATTCATACATCAATCTTATTGGTATTTTTTTTTTCTGTTTTTCTTGATTTGAATTAGATAATAGTATTTTTTCTTCTTAGCATTAAAACTATTAATTGAGCTAATGGTTAATTTTTAAGTTAGCTTAGAAAATAAGTAATGAAATTAAAAAGTTTTGTTGCTATGCTTATATTGTTAATATTTTGTCTATGTAATATTATCCAATTTATTTCAATGACTTTTTTTTTGATCTTTTAAAAATTTATAATTCATTTCTTTTCAGGAAGCGATTTACAAACGAGCGATACTCGTTTAATTATTTGTGGAAGTAGAAATTGTGTAAGTTTTTCGAACATATCAATTGTATTTGTAAGGGAAAAGTTTTATTTCTTAATTCATTTAGAATTATAATACAAACAGAAAAAAAAAAAAGAAAAATTTGTGAGGAAAAAATAAAGATAAAATAATTTATTTGAGATTGATAACGAAAATATTTATCTGATAAGTTGATAAGGAAAAATTCTATAAATGGATTTTTTTTCACTTCTTTTTTCCAAGGACTATTATTAGGATAATTAAAAAAGAAGATTAAGAAAGGTAAAAAATATTTGAATATAATTAGAATATGAAAAACAAAATATAATTTTTTTTTTTGTTTGTTTTGAATATTTTAATTCTGTATGAAAGTAAAGAAAAGAATATTTTACAGGGAAAGACATCGATGATATTTCGATTTTTGAATCGAAATGAAGACACAAAACCAACCATTGCATTGGAGTATACATACGGACGACGGAATCGAGGTAAGGTATGTGATATAATTTTCTCTCATAGTAACTTTTCTGGTATTTTAATTTTGCTATTTTTGAAAAGCTAACATTTGAGAAATTATTAAGATGTTAATTAATGAATTTTACAAGTTTAGTATGCTATGAATGAAATGTACTACTTCTTATTAGCAAATTAATCTTTTTTTTAGTTTTTTTTTTTGTTAATTGATAATACTAAAATTAAAAAATTACAGATGAAAGATGTTGGAAATATATGGGAATTGGGAGGAGGAACAAATCTTTGTAATCTTCTACAAATACCACTTTCCAGCAATTACATACAGTAAGCAAAAGAATTAAATTATTGAATTTTACATAAAAACGTCCTTCATGGAAGGCAAAAAAAGATTTAAAAATTTTATTAGGTATTATTTTTATTCTTTAATCCAAAATATGAATTTACTTCTACTTCTCTTTTAATTTGCAATGTTTTGTTGTGATTTCACCATAATAATTGTTTGTTTAGTTTTTGAGAATTTTTCCAGTAATATCTCTATTAATATTTAAATATATCTTAATATTCAATTAAATTTCTCCTTCAGTCAGTGCTCACTGATAATTGTTATCGACTTAACGGCACCTTTCGATATGTGGAATACATTTTACACCTTACTTGACAATGCTCGTATAATCATTGATAATGAAATGCAACAATCTGTTAAAAAGTCATCTGATAGTTATAAAGTATTTATGGTTGATAAGAAGGCAGCTTTTAAGGATCATAAGATATGTATTCAGATTCATCTTTTTCTTTTTTTTTTTTTTTTTTTAATTGAAAATTTATTCAAATTGACAAAGATATATTACTGATAAGTAATTACACACGAATTATTATACTTTACCAATTTTTATGAGTTAAAAGATATGCTAACTTTAAGTTTTATGCGCTAGAAAGTAGTTATATAGTTATAAAAAAGGGAAAAAAAAACAAAGAATTTAGAGGGTGTGACATTTAAGTTAACGAAAAAAATGGCAATAGTAAATTTAAAATGTGAATTAGTTTGGTTTTGGTTTGATTTTAACTTTTAAACACAAACTAAACACACTCTAAAGATATATATATATTTCAAAGAAAGCAGTTAAGTTAATATATTGAAATAATTTTAGGATATGGAATATATTGATCCTTTACCGATACCATTAATTTTACTCGGTGCAAAATACGACAAATTTCAGGTTGCTATTGTTTTCTGGTTTTCAAATGAGATGAAATAGTATCATTTATCATAATCAAAATTAAAAAAATTTTGTTTGCAGGATTTTGAGCCTGAACAACGAAAAATTATATGCAAATTTCTTCGTTTTATGGCACATACGAATGGAGCTACTCTTGCAGTACAATTTTATCTACATCGTTTCACAAATTAATTTTAATTTACTTTTGCTACCTATAAACAGAACTGTATATAAGAAGCGCACCTTGATAATACTCACTTTGAAACTAATTACCTTTATACATTTTTTTTTTTTTCATACATTAATGAGAAAACTATATCATTTGATAGCTTTGTAATTCTTTTTTTTTTTCAATAATTTACAATGTATAATGCAGATGTTCAGCAATAAAATGGAGAATTTGATAAGTAAAACTCGAGTTCTTATCAGTAGTGTTGTTTTTGGTACTACAGCTTCAAAAACAATCTGCACTGATCATAACAAGCCATTGTCAGTACCTTGCGGTGCCGATTCACTAATGGTTCATTTAAATGCTTTCATTTTTTAACTTTAAAAAAAAAAGTATAGGATGATATTTTATGCTAAGTTCGTGGTTTATATTAAACTGTCATAATTTAAGCAAGAATTAAGAAAAACTTGTATAAGCAAAAGTTCAGTTTCTTGTCAGTAGTGTTAAAGTTTGAATTAATGAAAAGCATATTTAGGATATTGGAGCACCACCTTTTATCAATTCATCACTATCACTTATTGGTGCAACGAATCCTCGTGATTTGTGGTATGAAGCATATTTGGAGCACTTTCCAAACAAAGTAATCAGATTCTTATTTCTTCGACATTTGAATTCAATTCGTTCTAATTACATCATTAGTAGAGACATTGAGTGATTATTCCTTGTGTAATCAGTATTCTTTGAGGAGAAACATAATGAAAGAGAAGATAATCCGGCTGAAGATGGTCAGCATAAAGAACCGGAAATTGATGAGTTAATTGAACAACGTACCCGGGTATGAAATTTTTACCATCAGGTATGAAACTTTTCCCAGATGATTTTCCCCAATTAATAATTAATATTTTAGGAACTTGAACAATATATACGACATAAAAAGGATCGAGCTGCACTAGAAGGTAGATCAGAACGAATTCTTCGTCAAAATGAAGTTTTTAGAAATTTATAGATAGAGCATTAATGTTAATAAATTGTGAATGAATATGTAATCGATACTAGAATTGTTTACCAAAAATGATGAAAATGATAGTGTAAGCAATTGCTATGCAACTTTTTCCATAAATGATAACTAACATTTTAGTATCATTTGCTGGTCTGCACAGAAAGTTATACTTCTTTGTATAAACAAAATTTGAATCAAAGATAAATGGAAAAAAAAAAAAAGTTAATAAAGCAAAAGGAAGGAATAAAGTAATAAAAAAATGTACCAAAAAGAATATAAATGGAGTATAAAAGGAATACAAAAGGAACACAAATGGATTGACAAATTTATGCTACTATTCAATTACATGAAAAAAAAAAAACGAAAAAAACGAAAAAAAAATCCCATTCATTGATATGAAAGAATACTTCACCGGAATATATGCCTATTTATAAAAAGCAATCTGACAGTTAAAGATTATTGAAAGATTAATTTTCAGAAAATGAGATGTCAATCACTAATCAAATGATTGGTAAGATGATGACTGATTCACCTTTGTAAACTTTTTTTTCAGGTAATTCACGTACAGCAGTTTATTGCTTACTTACATTTGATTAAATGTGCCCATTTAATTTGGAAAATAGATTCAAATATTAACATAGTGAAGCTTAAAATAAGAAATATCAAAATCAAAAATAGATTTATATTGGAATAAATGGAATGAAAATGTATGAAAGTAGAATTTATGTTGTTTATTCAATAAAACATTAAATATTGTAACAGTATCTTTTAAATTCCAATTTTCAATTAATAAATAAGTCACAAATAGTTTCATTGAATAGCAACATTTTGTAAATTCAACAATTCATAAGATTTTAGGACAAAAAAAAATGAAAATGATCTAACGAATGAAACAATTCGAGTAAAAAAAAATCTATACAATATCAACCTTAAAATAGTATTGTCAGTTATCATTAAAAAATATCATTCTTATTAAAGTAAAATTTCATTATCGTTAACATTATATCGTAAATAATAATATCATTATAGAAATAATTCAAATAGAAAGAGACGAAAGAAAAGTTTCGATTAATAAATTCATTGCAATTCATTCTATCATTTTCATTACTTTCATAAATATTACACGAAAAAACACGAAAGTAACAAATAATGTGTGAAGAAAAATGTTCAATCCTACTCAAAATTCGCATGGAGACGAACAAATTTCATTTTGATCAAAACATGTAGCACAACAAAATATCACTGTTGTACAGTAATACCTTTGTCGTGAATGGTCTCTTAATCCTAGGTTTGTAAAACTGTCATTGGTGTCGTTAGAACACTGACGCAATGATCAACTTGACGAAGTTGTTGTACAAAAACTTTGTCCCCCCGGGATATTAACTGCTAAGTTTAAATTAACTATTCACACCTTGTTACGCTTTATTCTAGTTTTGTAAACAAATACGTTGAATATTTCACTTACGCTAAAGTTTGGCAGGGTTTCCGTTGATGTAACATTGTTTTCACGTATCCTTCACGCAGTTCGTTAGGTGAATTGTCTAAGGGAATATCAGTAACATCGCGAAAAGTTTCAACATGGCGAAATCGACATGTCTAACAAGCGAATCCCTAACTATCAAATGGATCAAAAGTATTAATTAGTCGATAGTTTACATTAATAGATAAGTTATCATTTTTTTGCCACTCAGTGTAATTTTACTAAATTTATTTTTTACAATCAGGATTAAACTAGAACAACAAAACATAAATGGTTGCGTTTGATAACAAAATATACGAAAGAAAATGTATAGCTCAAAAATTCATATTTTCATAATAATACATAAACAAACTATGTGATGGAAACAAGGGCGAATTAGTAACTGGTAAAAACAAAACCAAGTCGCAAAAGGTAAAAAGAGCACACAGAGTCCAGAAATCAAATAATTATGAGGCACACTAATAATCATAGTATCCTGTTAACGTTATGAAGACTGCCCAGAAATCGCAGTCCACAAAATAAAATTATAACAGTAAAAATTCTGGTAAACTTCATTCACGTCTTTTAGTACGTACTGATACACAATACTGAATACGACACAAAATTTAACTGTGTATTTTTCCCAAACGGAATGTCATATCAAAGTATTTTCGGAAAACGAAACATAAGCAAACAAAGATATTACAATATAAACGTCATCATTAGACAGTGCGGTATTTAATTAGTAATCTGAACACTGATAAAATGTTAATTTATTTACATCTTGTAACAAAACCAGCAACAAATAACTATGTAATTTTAAAAATTCGAAGAGATATGTGAAATGGAATTTACATTACAATGATATATCAAATAAAGCGACATACTGAAGTCTCAGTAAATTATGACATCATTCTATAAGATAATATTTCTCTCTAATGCTACCGCATCCTAATAACCTGAAAGAAAGACAGTCTGGAAAGACTGAATAAGAAAACGATGTCTACCTATTATAGTGCAATAAAATGAAGCGCTCAAACACTCCACATTGAATCAATTACATTTCTTCACGTATTTTGCTTTCTGTCGTTCAATTATCTGCAAAATTCCATACGATAAAATTAATTGCCAAATGAAATAAGTTAACTTTTTCATTTAATTTTCAATAACTTTTTCCCATTCCGTAAAAACCTCTACCTATTCGTAAGAAATAAAATAAAAGACAACATTTGACATGTTGAAATCAGAACTATTATTTCTTATTAAGCAGCAACCCACTCTAATGATTAAATATTACCTCTTGCGGGACAACTTTCATGTCGTATGCCAATCCCAAGAAAAATAGTATGTCGATGAATAATTTTGTTACATTAAAGTGAAGCACATATTCAGATGTTCGATAGTCTTGCGGAAAAGTGTGATGATAGTTATGACCGCCTTCACCCATTGCCGTTACCGCTAGCTGAAATTAAACACCACTGCTTACCTTCCAATTACAGCAAAACCAATTTTATGAAAGGAAATTGAAATTGGGAAAATAAACGCCACCGTAATGCTAGTAAGAATTTTGTATGCCGAAAGCATGATGGCTGAGCAGTAGCATTGATTTCTTTCGCAAAATTGAGATCAAATAGGTCCAAAAACGATTAATAATCTCTAAACTGACCCATAATGATTCAACAGGTGTTATATTCGGATTGTAAGGCTTGAAGCCATATTTGTGTGCCAACGAATTGATTAGCCATGTACCATGCAGAGTAGAGCAGTATCTAAGATATGAATATGAACCAAAACTGATCATATTTGAGCACAGAAATGTCCAGAAACAAATCAATAAATTTTTTCCCGCAAAACAGATTTTTAACAAATGAAAAGTTAACCTTAATAATGTGCAAGTATAAAGAGCGACCATGAAGGATTCTCCCCAAAAATACATCGGTACAAAGGTTGGCACAATAAACCAAGCGAATAGTACTGTTTTTAAGTAGTGTCTGAATTAACAGTTAGAATTAGTAAATTAAATTAAACGGAAAATAAAGCAAAGGATATAAATTACAGCATTGCTACTAACTGTTAAGAAGTTAGCTGTACACTAAACCCACAGCCTTATCATCTATTTTTCACTTTTTTAGCTCATATCCGTCTACGTATTAGGCATGATTTCAGGAAAACCGTCACACGAAAGCAAAAGCAAAGAAAGATTCTTCGACCATAATTCATGAAAACTGTTGGTAATAAGCAGAAAATAAACCTTCTCTGAAATGCAAGTATAGGATCATTGAACAAATCACTCAGATCTAGTTGAGAGCCTTTTCTCTTCACTTCCGGATGTTTACGAACCATCAACCAACCCATATGAGCAAAAAACATTCCTCTATAATATAACATTCAAAAAGCCAAATAAAATGGAAAATACATTTAGCATTGATGATGCAAGTTGATGAGAAATGGTGAGGAAAACAATAAACTAACCTACCTTGTGGTATTGTGCGGGTCAGCATCAGTATCTGTCCACTTGTGATGACAACGATGGTCTCGTGACCACTCAATTACATCGTTCTAAACATAATATGCAATCACTAATGCAAAACAAATTAAGGGAGTGCAGTGGAACAATTCAAATTCGAGCGATATCGATGAATTCAAAAAATGCAAAAGATATAATAAACAAATGGAAGGAAACTTGCCTGGAAAGCCATACTGTTGCAAAACATCAAAAAGAGCCGAGCAGGCCATCTGGCCTTATAACTACGATGAGACCAAAGACGATGTGCCCCAGCAGTGATACCCATAACGCCCATTAGCCAACAGGTGCAATCTAAAGCATAAATAGACGTTATGAACTAAAAGCTATCATTGAACAAAACACTAAAATAAGAAAACAGTGTTTAAACTGAAATTAATCATTTTCTAAGAAAGACAAATAGCATAACTTACACCAAAATAATGTTGGCCATTTGGCGAGGAAAATAAACTGATAAATACCGACCAGTGATGCGACATGGAGAGCTGAAAATAGCGCCACATTCCTCCATACAATTTGAGTTTTGAATTTAACCTGCAATGCAAAAACAAAAACATTTGATGCCAGGTAAAGAAATACTATGTGACCCGAGCAGCAGATAATTTTCTATTTCACTCCTGTAGGCACGAAAATTCTGCTTATCTTCCTCAGACATTGCTACACTAACAAATCACAATACCGAGGATTTTCACTGTTAATCTGTCGCGGGATTTACCTGGGATTTTCTTCACGAAATTCTCCTTTAATCTGGATTGCTCACATCCGTAATCTTGCCGCCTTATACAATGTTCAAAATAACAAAAAATTCTGTGATCGCTGGCAAATCCAAAAAATCTTTCATAACTCCAAATGATCAGAGAACAATCAATCACTGAGAGTGAGATGATCGCTTGCCCGTCTCTTCTCCACTTGCCCGTCTTTCTCCTCTATTTCGCAATGTTGCAAAATGTAACTTTTACCCACCCGTCTCTCCTTTCCCGCATTTCATAAGAGATAACAAGGAGGATTACTTACCTGTTTTGA